GGAGGAGGGGAGGAGGGAGGAGAGGGGGCCGGAGAAAGCGTTGGAGGAGAGGAGGAGAGAGGCGAGGCGCTGCTTGCCCTGGCAGAAGGCAGGCAGGGAGCCTTTGAGCTTGTTGCGTGAGAGGTCCAGATGGGTGAGCACGGGGGCGAGGGCTAGTGAGCGGGGCAGCGAGTATGAGAGCAGGTTGTCGGAGAGATCTAAGCGGGATAGGGCTGTGAGCCGGGTGACAAGCGCATTGGAGATGCTTCCTGTGAGTTTATTGGAAGAGAGGTCCAAGTGGGAGAGGGGGACGAGGGAGGAGCTCTGGTTGCTCCCCTGGGGAGGGATTGGGATGGGGCCAGAGAGCCGGTTGTGGGAGAGGTCGAGCAGCGAGAGGCACGCGGAGAAGACGGAACTAGAGATGCTCCCAGTGAGCTCATTGTGGCTCAGCCGAACCTCTGCCCCACACGGATGCACCTTCCATGCTGGAGCAGCTGTCACGTTCCCCCAAAATGGTAAGGACTTTTCTGAAAGAGTGCCAGAGAACGCATTGTAGGAGAGGTTTAGGTAGGTCAGGCTCAGCAGCCCATATCTGTGACCCAAAACCGGCAGATTTCCAGCCATTGCGTTGTGAGACACGTCCAGACTTCTCAAATCCCTATCTAGCCACGTGGCAATCCCATCAAGCTGGTTCCAGCTCACGTTCAGATGCACCATGTCTGGCGGTGTCAGCGGAACTTTTCCGGTGAGCTGGTTGTGGGACAAGTCACATGATTTCAGGGAGCCATTGAGCTCGGGAATGGTTCCAGACAGCTGGTTATACGACAGATCAAGCGTCTCCGTGTAAGCCTTGACGGCAGGAATTGAACCCGTGAGCAGGTTGTGTGACAGGTCCACCTCGCCCGGCAATCTGCGTTCCAGGAGCGGGGCAGGGATGGGTCCCGACAGCTGGTTGTGTGACAGACGCAGCACCCTTGAGTGGCAACCGTAGAAGTTCACAAAGAGGTCATTCAGCGGGGTGCGGATGCGGTTGTGTGACAGGTCCATGTAGGTGGTGCTCCAGGAGGCTTTGCCGGGGCTGCACATGAGGCGGTTGTGTGAGACGTTCAGCGTGTGGAGGTATGGCTGGAGAGGGAAGAGCGCGGCTGCATCGCCTGACAGCTGGTTATTGCTGGCGTCCAGACGGGCCAGCAGCGGGAACACCCCCCCGAGACCCCACGAGACAGGCGCACTGTCGGCGGTACTGCCATCGTCTGTAGTAGCAGCAGGGGAGGGAAAGGCGACAGCGAGTGCAGAGACGTCCCCCTGGAGGGCGTTCCCCTGCAGCTGCAGGTCTCGGAGCATCCAGAGCGCGCCGAGCGCCCTTGGCAAGCTGCCGTCCAGGCGGTTGTGGTCCAGCGCCAGGCGCGTCAGCCCCGTCAGAAGACTCACGGCAGCTGGAATGGAACCCGAGAGAGCGTTCCCCCCCACGTCTAGACTCTCCAAACTCGGTGACGGCGGCGCTGCTGCTGCTGCTGCAGTGGTGGTTGGAAGGACCTCTCCCGTGAGGTTGTTCCCGCGGAGAGTGAGCTCTTGCAGCGAGGGGAGGGCGAAGAGGGCGGGGGGGATGGAGCCAGAGAGGTGGCGGTTGGAGGAGAGGTCGAGAGCGACGAGGTGAGAGAGGCGTGAGAGGGACGGCGGCAGGCCGCCGGAGAGGGCGTGCCCGGAGATGCGCAGCGATGTGAGGTGCGTCAGCTGCCCCAACGCCTCTGACAGACTCCCACTCGCAATGCTGCTCGAGCTGCCGCCAGGCAGGCCCTGCAGGAAGAACGAAACCGTATTGGGAGGCTGCGGAACGTCGTGCGCGCATGTCAGGTCTCCGTACTCGTCGTATTCGCATTCGGGCGATTCCGGGACGAAGTTGGGGTGAAGCATGACTTCGGAAGCGCCTATCAGGTGCAGCGTGTCCACGTGTCCGTCTGCTGTGCACCCCACGCCGTACCACGCACACGCGCTGCTGCTGCTCGCGTCCCAGCTGCGCAGTATCTCCGCCCACGAGCTGTTTCGGCCATTCGCCACCGATTTTGCCACTGCGCCCCCCCCTGCTCCTCCCGCTGCTTCACCTCCTGCGGCTTCCCCCAGAAGTGCATGGCGCACCGCCAGCAGCGCAGCAGTCTCCGCAGCGGAGGTCCGCACGTCAGGCGCCAGCGCGGGGAGGTACCCCGCGCCCACGGCGCCCACCATGCGCGCGCTGTTGTTGCTCACGCGCAGCACGTCCCAGTCGTAACTCCAATAAGCATACCGCGAGTCCGAGCGCGCGTCAAACAGCGGCCCCTGCAGGTCGTTAAACCGCAGGTCCACGCGCGAAAATTTGCTGTAAAACACCTCGGGAATGCCGCCGGAGAAGTTGTTGTGCGACAGATCCAAAGCCCCGGACGGAAGCACCGCGAAAGCTTTCAGGCTGCCCGAGAGGCTGTTGTGGCTCAGATCCATCATGTCCATAAACGTAACAATGGAGGGCTTGTGCCCCGACTGTGCGTTCGTCTCGAGGAACAGGTCGGGCGGAACGTTCCCCCGCAGCCCCGCGTGCGAAGCGCTGAGTAGCTCTAGCTTCGCGGGAAGCACGCAGCTGTGCAGAGAGCCCTCATCCTCCTCCTCACCTCCGCCGCCGCCGCCACCGCCGCCGCTGGCGCCGCCCAGGTCGTTGAAGCCTAGCCAGAGCTTGCGAGATGGCAGAAGCGCGTCGCAGAACGGCCCAGTGAGCGCGTTGCTATCGAGCCGCACCTCGTCGAGCGCCTTGAGGGAGTCGCGCAGCGCAGCGGGCACCGCGCCGGATAGACGGTTCTCCCCCAGGTCGAGTTTCCGCAGCGCCGTCATCTCCGCCAGCGCGGGCGGAATGGCGCCGGACAGGCTGTTGTTGCGCAGGATGAGCGCAGTAATGCTCCGCGAATACGCGCCCGCATCACCTGGGAGTTCCCCCGTGATGTTGTTGCTCTGCAGGTCCAACTGGCGCAGCGCAGGCGCGCGGAGAAGGGCGCGCGGAAGCTCCCCAGAGAGCGCGTTGCCGGACAGGATAACCTCTTCCAAAGACGAAGAGTACGCGTCGGGCCCGTCGGGAAGGAACCCCGATAGGCCTTGAAACTGAAGTTGAAATTCCGGGGTCGGTACTGAGTGTGCTCAGATCCACGTGGCGGAGCGCGGGCAGGCGGAAGAGGCCCGGCGGAATGGGCCCGGAGAAGTTGTTTTCGGGCATGACGATTTCCGTCAGCTTCTGGAGGCGCGTGACGGAGTCTGGCAGGTCTCCGGCGAGGCACGAGTGGCGGAAAACAAGCGATGAGAGCTCCGCGAGGTCGCCAATGGCGGGCGACAGCGCGCCGGGCGGACAGCTCCCTCCGCTCCCGCCGGGCCCGGGCATATCCTGGCGGCTCGGGTCGGAGTAGATGCGCGTGATGCGGCCGGCGGGCGTGCATTGGAACGGGCTCCACTCGGGGATCCAGTCGCAGGGCGAGGGCACAATGGGGCAGTGCGTGACGTTTCCGTGTTGGTCGAAAATTTCTTCGTGAAAGAAGGACAACCCCTCGGGCAGCGTCGCGTTGCTGTCGTGCCAGAAGAACATCCCCTCGGGCAGCGCCGCGTACACCGCGCGCACGGCTTCCCGGTCGGCCTCCGCCACCTCCGCGACGCACGGATTGATGTATGCTTCCGCGGGGCAGAGGAGGGCGATGAGCGCGAGGAGAGCGAGGAAAGTAAGGAGCGAGGGGACGGGGAGGGAGGACGGGAGGCCACGAGAGAATGACGCCATAATGTTGTGTCAGAATGGAAATATGCGGATAAGAATGGGAGTGTACTACAAGTAGCGGATAAGATTGGAGAAGCGGAAATAACACTACAAGTATATAGCCCCTACTACGTCGGCGACAACTCGAGCACTACTGGCGCTTGTATAGCTATGCTGGGCGTTGTTGCACGGATTTTTGTGGGCGATACTCGAGGGAGGTCGAATGAGTGGTAGTGGTAGTACCTGTCACGTTGAGTAGCATGATCGGGGTTTTCCCACGTTGACTTCGTTGACTTCATTGACGGGAGGTCAGGAGGGACTAAGGCGGAAGGAAGTTTAGCGAGGAAATGACAGAGCGCCGTGTTTTCAAATTTCCAATTCCAATGGGCAGTGGTTTTGACAGCGCAATGCTCTTCGCTTGCGTCCAATACCTTGGGGCATATTCTTTCTCAGTTTCCCCTTTTAAGTCCACAAATACAAGTTGTTTTTAGGTTAGGGGTATTGAAAATGTATTCGTCGTGTCCATGGCAAACGCTCAGCTCGGGACAAAAAATTTATAACCCTCATGGATGGTATGCCACGAAGAGAGCATCAACCATGAACACCATGAGGCAAGGTGTTCAGGGTTGATGCCTCCCAAATGGCTTGTCATCCGAGTGGGTTTTAGTTTTTCCACTGGCCTCTATACTGAACGCAGGTAAACTTAATATTTGCCCTTCTATACGTTTGGTCATGAAAAACGGGAAACAGCAATATAAACTGACCGCGGGAATTGAGCGCGAGCGCGGTGGGAGTCGTTGTCAAAGCCACTGTCAAAAGGAATCGAAAACGCGCAAACACGGCGGTCCGTCATTTCCTCATTTTGGAGGGAAGACACGGCACGACTTTGAGAGAAAGCAATGGACGGGGACTTATGCGGAGTGGGGGAGGGAGCAGAGTCAGGCGGGGGGAATCTGGGGAGGGAGGAACAGTTGCTTTTGTGCGGTGGGGTGGGGTGGAGGGAGGAACGAATGGGTGAAGGTGGTTAGTTGTTGCTGGCTGCATTGAATTCTCGCCGAGACGCATGTCGTGTTCCAGGTGCCTCTTCCAGGTTCGGTTGTTTGCTGTACAATACTTGAGGCCATTCCATGTTCAACAGGTCCGCAACATGCGGCGGGTTCCTCGAATTCCATGTATAAATCATCTTTCTACAGTGAGATAGGTACTTGCATGCTTCCGAATCACTACCACAATGCTTCACACGCAAGTATGAAAACTATGCATTTTATCCGCCCAAGTAGCCTGTCTCGAGGTACTCAATTAGCGGAACATGGACATCCTGCACTGCAGTGTCGCTCAGCAGCAAGTCAAGGTGAGAGTAACGAGGCAGCTCCAAATGAGTCACGGTAGGACCAGCAGCACCGGTAGAACTTGCGCTGGTGGTGCTTGCAGGTGTGAGCTGCGATAGTAGCTTCTGGATGTTGGGTGGGTCTGCAAACCAGTCGTTACCTCCAGTCATAATGAGAATGGGTACCCCCGCAGGCATGTTAGATAGGTAGTACTGCCACGTAGAAACATGAAGGAGGGAGAGAAAGGGGAGTGTGTAAGTAGCATTGACCGGCGGAAATTGTGGGGGGAGAGGGAGGTGGGGGGGCACTGTAAAGTTTCGAATAAAAGAGGTGTGAAGAGAAGGGGAACGGATGGGAGAGGGGTGGGGAACTGGCAGCAGAAGAAACAGAGTGAAAGGCGAAGAAGTGAGTGGGCGGGTGTGAGAGACGGACCATGGGAGGGGAGACAGCGCTGTAGCGGTCCATGTTGGCTTGCGCACTGAGTGCATCCCACTGCTGGAAGAGACCGTTGCGGATCACTGCAACCATGCACACATACATGCGCACATTCATACACACATTCATACACACATCCATACAAAGTGCAGTCAGGCGGGCATGCAGGCGTCAGGGCATGTACGCAGGCACAAGGGAGGTGGGGAGTGGGAAAGAAAGCAAGGAAAAGAAAAACAAAAAAACAGATGAACCAGCGGCAAGGAAGAGAGACAAAGAACGAAAAGCAGGGAGCGTGTGGCAGATTGCAGCAGCAGCAGCCCCCATGCCGTCCATGGCTCGCCCCCCATGGCTGACTCACGCTGCTGGTAGTGAATGAGGTTGCGATACGAAGTGGCAATCCACCCGGGTGTGGGGGCTGCAGGAGGCTCCATAGGATCCGTGCAGCATGGGTTGCCTGGTGGAGGGCGATGGGGGCGGTGGATGAGAGGGAGGGAAGGGGAGAGGGGGGAAGAGGGAGGAAGAGGGGACATGGGGGGAGAGGAGGAGAGAGAAAGAGGAAGGACGAGAGGGGAAGTGAGGGTTTGGAAGAAGGTAACATGTGATATCATACTGAGGGAGCTGTGGAAAGGAGTTACATACAAGGTGCAGGCAGTAGGACAGACATGCGTATGAATGGCATACTGGCACACACATGCCTGGTTGCATGCGCGGCTGCATTCATAGCTGCATTCGCGGCTGCATGCACGAGGGGGGACGGGGGTTGTGTGTGTGAGAGGTGACCTGTGATGTTGGTGAGCAGGTCCTGGGGGTCGCCCGTGGTGACAAAGTAGGTGAGCATGTTGTACCCCACCGCCTCCAGTATGCCCGATAGGATCTCCGTGCTGCTCCCATGCACCCCCATGCACACCCGTGCACACACCAGGACGGGACAGAAGCGGATAGATTAGGCACAGGCATACCAGGATCGCGAAAAAACAATCGAATCAGACAAAATCACAAAGGAAGAGACATGCAGTGGTGGGAACAATCGTAATGCTGTAGATAACACGCAGCTTGGAGCGGAGCAGATGCTGTCTTAGGGGGGACATCACAAGCAGTTGCCGGAGGTGTGCGTGAGTATGCGAAAATGGAAACGTGTGCCTTCGAAATACAGATTTATGAAGTGGGAATAAAGGCACGTACGCAGAGACATTGTAGGCGCCGTACAGGAGATGAGCTTGGTAGACGGCCTGGTTGCATCAGGGGAGAAGGGCGAGAGGCAAGTTAGGGGGAAGGGAAGCAGACGGGTGCATACAAAGGGAGACAAGAACGAGCAAAGGGTATGAGCGCGTCTGGGAAAGAAGCGCACGCGGGAGGGGTATAAATTATAGACGATAGGGGAAAAAAGCATACGAGGGAGGGTATGAGGTACACAAAGCAGACCGCGAGAGGCAGGAGTAAGCAGCACGGAAGGGGCAGGACTCAGACTCATAGAATCAGGCAGGCGGGCCTGAGCGCCCACTGGTGAAGCAAGAAATGCGAGAGGCGGGAGAAAGAAGCGCGCAAGGGGCAGGACTGAGACTCACAGCGTCAGGCGAGGGGCCGAGTGCCCACTGGCGAAGCACAGGTGACTTGACATTCTGAAAGAAAACCGTTGGCGCGACAGACGCCACGGAGGCAGTGACACGCTCGAGGTAGCGCGGGGACGTGCTGCCCAGGGCGAAGGGCAGCATGCCCCCCTCGTTGAATCCCAGCAGATGCACCTTGGGCGCGCCTGTCACTCCCAGCACGAGCTCGATCGCTGATGGAATGTCAATTGTGGCGAGCTGGTCGAAGTCCCAGTCCCAGTATTGCTGGTGGGCAGACGGGAGGGGAGCGGAGGGAGGTAATGAGGGGAGGGGAGTTTAATAGGCAGATAGGCAGAGAGGTATATAGGCAGAGAGGCAGAGAGACAGAAATGTAGAGAGGTAGAGAGAGGGAGAGGTGACTGCTTGAGAGAGGTGACTTACCCACTGGCGGGTGTTGTAGGCGACATGACCCGGGGAGAACTCAGTGGAGCGGTGGTTGAGCAGGAACACGTCAAACCCGCGGTTGCACAGCCCCACGGGCACGCGCTTGTGAATGAGCGGGTCGGAGGCGCTCTGGTTGGAGAAGGCGAACCAGAGATCGCTGGACATAAACATGGCGTGGGACAGCAGCACCGGGTACCGCGGCAGCACACGCGCCTGGGTTTGTGTCTGTGCCAGGGTCTGCGGCTGGGAGGTGGAGCGAGGCTGCGCGAGCGGCTGCGCGACGGGTTGGGAGAGAGGTTGGGAGGAGGGGAGAGTGGTGGTGGTGGTAGGTAGCTCCTGGCGCTGGAGCTGCTGCTGCTGCTGCTGGGGTCGAAGCATGGGGCGACCGGACGGGAGGGATGGCAGGGACGGAAGCTCAGGCACGGCGGTGCTTGCCGCTGCTGCTGTTGTTGCTGTTGCGGGTCCTGCTGGCCGTGTGGTTGCAGCAGCAGCAGCAGGAGTCGTGGTGCGGGTGGTTGTGCCGGTGGTGGCAGAGGGGGCGAATAAGCCTGCAGTTGCTGCGCTCATTGTCCGCGCTGCTGCTTCTGCTGCTGCCACAGCGGCTGCACCGGCCGCGGAAACCGCGTTGGTGGGAGCAGGCGTGGGTGTGGTGGTGGTGGTGAGTGGGGCTGTGGCAGCAGAAACAGCAGAGGTGGAGGCAGCGGGCATGGTGATGGGAGGCGCGGTGACAGACGTGTTGCTGATGCGCTGGATGCTCAGAATGTACCCGTCACTCGTGGTGATCTGTAGCGCAGGGTGGGTGGGACATGGGAGGCCTTTTGAGGCGCCTCAAAAGTCGCTGGATGCTCAGAATGTACCCGTCACTTGTGGTGATCTGCGGCGCGGGGGGGGTGGGACATGGGGGGAAAGCAGGGCGGGTGGGCGGCCGTGCAGCCGGGCAGGTGGGCAGGGAACAAGGCGGGGCAACACAAGAGAGGCAAATTTGACGTGTCAAAATGGCGCAAGAGAATGGCTCAAAGATGCAGCACTCCAATCCGGCAGGCACCCACCCACCTGGTACTCGCGGCACTGCAGCCCATACGGCCGCACGAAGCGGTCACAGAACCCCGACTCTTGCGCGCGCCCCACCTCCCTGCCCGTCGCGGACGCCGTTGCTGCTGCTGCTGCCGCCGCCGTGGACTGAGCAGCCGCCAGAAGCGGCGCGGGCGGGAGGAAGGGGGAGGAGTAGGGAGAGAGGAGGAGGAAGAGCACGAGGAGGAGGGAGGCGGGGAGGAGGGGCAGGCCGGGGATGGGAGAGTGGAGAGGCTTCGCCATTAGAGGACGTTTTGAAGAGCGTCCTCCGGGAGCGAGGGGAGGGAGGGAGGAGAGAGGAAGAGGTGCGATGCACCCCAGTTGCAGCTCCTCCCACTGCGGATACCACTGGCTTTGCAGGCGGTATTGCAGCTGCTGGTGTTGCAAGCGATGTTCAATCTCCTAGTCTGAAGGAGCAGTGGACGAAGAGAGGAAGCCCGCGAGCAGGATATATCTTATGAGCACAGGGTGGTTATCTTCTTCCCGCACGTGCTTATCTTCTTCCCTCGGCTTCTCTGCCTGTCTCCCTTTGCGCCTCTACTGCCTCGACCAGTGGAGAGGACGGCTGACAGTTGCTGGTGAGGCACCTGCGGGAAGTTTACGTGCTTTCTTGAACCCGTCAGGACAGCACGTCCCCTTCAGCCTTATGATCCAATCAGGAGAGAGAGAATCGAGCGAGAATCCACCACCACCGTTTGCTGCGCCTGTCTCTACACTGACCACGGAACCGAACAAGTCTCGAAATCCTCGCCGCCGCTGCTGCTGCTGCTGCTGTGGCGGCTGCGGCTATTGCTGATTCTCGTCGTCGTCGCACCACTCCGAATGAATGACTCATCTCCTCACGTTGGCGGGTATTTCTAGACATCGCCGTGCACCCTCGTGTCCCATCTGTCTCTCTCCGCGGCTCTCGTCGCGTCGCACACTGCCTACACCTCCCACGTCCCGTCACAAGTCGCCGAGTCGCTCGAGGAATTGAGTGAAACGACAGAGGGGTCCAGGCGTCACAGCTTGAGAAACGTCGCTATTAGCAGACAGGAGGTACTGTATGCTGGTCACGTTGAGCGACGAAAGTTACGACGGTGCCATGGAGCGATGGTGCGACGGATGGTGCGACGATGGGATGTTTGGACGGTTCGATAGCTCTGGTCGTTTGCATCAGGCTTGGAACGGCGCTATCACCCCGACGCGAGGTTTGGGAGGGATCGAAGGAGCCTTGAATCTTGGGGGCACAGTGATCCAACGAGGTCGACCTTGTGGTTACCACACCGTGTGGTTATCAATGTGACCTTGATGTGACGAGACGAGTGATCTGACGCGAATCATCTGGCGCTGCAACCCAGTCAGGCATGGAGTTCTCCGTGCAGAGAGGGGTACAGATTGTCGTGGCGCCTTGTCTTACGAAGAATTCGAGAAATCGAAGCGCGGCGTCTGGTCTGGACGTGACGTTATAAGCTGGTGCACATGCTGATCCACCAAGTCACGTCCAAGGAGGCGGTGAAAGGGAAAGGAAGTTGGACAAATTTGATTCAGATTGTATGTTTTACGTCGAAGAGCTATAGCAATCGGTATGCACAGATGGTGTTAACAGAGTGGTGAGTAGCGCGTACGTAACATCTCAGGCTGCGCCCGCAGATGCAGGCTGGGTCAGGTGGGCTGAAAAACTTCAGAGAGTTGCGAAAGCTGAAACCCATGTCTGCCGCATCTGGCTGCTGCCGAATTTGACCTGCCGGTTGGATCATTTCTTCCCAAATCGCAGGGGATTGTGCGAGCGGGAAGGTTGGTTGGGGGCATTCTGGACGGGTCTTGCAGAAGACATTGGAAAGTGCGACGCGTTTGCACAAGGAGCTGCAACAGTTTTCGCGTGTTTGTCTGTTCCAGGCATGATCTGTCGTTCCCCACCGACCCTAGGGTTTTTGACTTGTAGCGATGAACCTACATCGTGGAGACGTCGTTTGGAAGTCGCTACAGAGCACCCAGTGTATCGGGTTTAAAATCTGCATTTCTGCAAGAATGGGACCTCAGACTTACAAGACAACATATAATGCTAATGCCTGAATTCTCACATTGCTCTTGGAGGAGCCATTTGCCATGTCCCCTGCAAAATCCTCAAAGTTTTAATCAATGTTAAAATCACGATCACATGCTATGGAATTTCCAATACCCATATATTTGATGTGACATGCTTGCGTGCAGAACAATAACTCCACTTAAGGCATTGCTTGCCCTAGCTTTCGTCCAAATATGCTCCATCTCCTCTAGTCAGGAGGCTAAGATTTTAACTGCTGGAGCAGAGTGTTTACGGCTCAGTGAAACAATATCTCATTATCGTATGAGAGCTGGCTGTTGTGGTAGCATGGACAATGCTGTGTGTTGGGCTAATTTTTGGTTTTGGCCAACCCTTACGATCAGTGTTGCACATCATCAAAATCCTGATTATCAGAGTATGCCTCAGTGAAAATCCTTATCTGTCAGGGTTCCTGCAGATCCTGAAAATTCTACCCTGGGTCATCATTGTAATAAATTTTCAACTCGGTACATTGGCGTTGCCTCATTTGCAACTGTATTACGGGCCAATGGTGGCCCACTTTGTGCCAGCACGCGTAATGTTGTGCCGAAATTTACAGCTACGATAGTTGGCAAAGGGGATTCCCAGGTTACGGGGTACGGGCAGGGCTCTCGTTATCAGACTAATTTGGTCTGATGGTCTGATTTTCAAACTTACTTTTTTGGATTCATCTGATTTGGCAAGCAGGATCAGACAAAACCTTGTCTAATGCCCGGGGGACCCGTCTGATAAATCAGACGTCCTCAAATCCTAGCAAAGAGCCCTGGGTACGGGGGGTTAGGGGAAGGTTGGGGGGGGTCGGGGGTTGGCTGTGTTGGAAACAATAAGTCCTAAGTGCGCTTCTGTCGTATCAAAATCCAAGGCACCAAGCGAAGCAGTCCCAATCGAAGCATCGAGTCAACCTCGGAGGTTAGGGTAACCGCCTGGAGGTTACGAGAAAGTCAAAGGTCGCTGACCTTTGACTCGACAATTACAGCGCGACAGTTAAGGACACACAACTGACTCGTTACAGAGCAGTTGCCCGAGTCGCACTATATCGAACCGCAACAGCAATACAGTTATCTATCTATCTATTCGTATTCCCTGTACTCTTATATAAATCCTTGTATTTGCTTGTTTAATTTAATCTACTTTGCTCTCACACACCAGTGCAAGGTCGGTTCACAATCCTCATTAAACGCTTCCGCTATTACAAGTTTCTACCCAAGAGTTCTCCTCTGCAAAGATCCTAAGGGCTATTTTTCAGCCCAACATGGTATGAGAGCGGACAGGGGAAAACTCTAACTTTTTTATCATTACAAGACATGGCAACAAACAAGGAAAGGAGCTCCCCTAATGGCTCCTCGGGCACTACTCCTACTCCACCGCCAGCCTCTGGCCTGCAGACAGAGGAAGGCACGGCAGCAAGACCAAGGGGAACGTCAACCGAGACCCCCACGAACCATCCTTCTGACTTCGACCAGAGCATGATGGAGAAATTTTTCTCCTTCATGTCCTTCTACGAGCAACACCAGCAGTCGGGACCTGCACAGACACACAACAGCAACAACGGAGCGACACCCATGAGCCTTGACGGGTCGTCATACGCGCGAGGGAATCAACAGCAGCAACCCACCTTCGCCCCGTACGAACGCGGGTCGATCAGCTTCCTGCCTCAACCTCCACCTGCGCAAGACAAACCAATGGATGCCTTACAAGTACAGTCGCAGTTCGCACATGTTCTGAAACTACAGACGTCAAGACCTTTCGACGGAAAGGACTTCTTTACCTGGTCCTTTGAATTCGAGTTGATGATGGAGGGCGCGCAGATACTCGGCTTCTTCGACGGATCCCTGCAGTATCCAGCAAACGGGACACAGTATGAAAAGCAGCAGTATACGTATCAATCCATGATGGCGTATACTATTCTACTGAGAAACATCACACCAACCCAGCAGCAGAACATTCGCTCTTACCGGAACTTCGGCAACTCGACAGAACTCGCGTACGGCCATCTGAAGAACCTGTACCAGGCAACAGACAGTGTAAACCAGAGCAGGTTAATGGCGCAGCTGACAACAGTTGAAATGAAACCAGGAGAAAAAGGGTTGGCGTATATCAGCCGATGTCGCGAATTGCGCGACAAGCTTCTTCGATGTGGAGGGTCAATCTCTGAAGACGCCTTCGTAACAGTCGTCATCGGTGGCCTCGGTCCTCAGTGGCGCGCCACCAAAGCAATTCTTCGAGCACACAGGAGGATCTCCGAAGCGGCACTTTGCGCAGAAATTCACGCCGAGCAGCAGGATATGGACCTGCAAGAAGAAAGACACAAGAAAAGGACATTAGCACCGGAGTTTGCTTTCCATACTCAGCGACGACACAACAACTACAACAATCGACAGCAGCAGCCGAAGCTAGTACCTCCATTTTGTCACATCTGCAAGACATCAGGACACCCACGCACGCACTGCCCGTCTCGACAGACAACACCACAGCGACAACTGCGGCCTTCAAGCACCCAAGTTGCTTCGACACAAGCAAGCTCGACAACCACGATTCAAGCTTCAACAACCTCAACTGGACAACCTGCGCAAGGAGCAAGACATATAGTCAACTGCATGGTCAAGATAAACGACTCTTGCATAACAGAGTCACCACCCCATTACTCACCGGAAGAGGAGCTCGACAACAGGACGCCTCGTCGCGAATCACTCCATCCAAATCCGACTTACGCCGCTATCGCTCAAAGTGAACCGTCCGGCCAAGACACCTGGTTCTTGGACAGTTGCTGCGGGCAACACATGTGCTCGTCCGGGCGTTTCGTACAACGCGAACATCGACTCCAACGGGAAGTGATCATCACGGTTGCCAACAACCAAAACCTGCGCACACGAAGACAAGGAGTGGTACAGCTTCAGTCAAGAGAAACAAATGTCATACTGCACATGTCTAAGGTACTCATCGCTGAAGGACTCGGCTACAACTTACTGAGCGTTAGCCAGTTGATGGCGAAAGGAATTCATCTGGAAGCCGACAGCACGACCTAGGAGTTCAAGCTTTACCACGGGAGAGGCGGTCTCTACATCGGGAAAGCAGTGCTGAAGAACAACGTCTTCGTCCTCGACTTCGCTCCCGACCTCGGCACTGCAGACAGCGACGCCATTGTGAACTTTGCTGATTGGACACACCCTCCGGATCTCGACCCCGACTTCAGCCCGGGAGGTTTCTGGTACTCCCACACTATCCCTGAAGCAGAGCGAACAAGAGCGTTAGCAACGATTCAACAAGAAGCAGAGACGACAACATCGGCAGCAGCGACAACATCAGCAGAGATGACAACATCGGCAGCAGCGACAACATCGGCAGCAGCGACAACATCGGCAGCAGCAACAACATCGGCAGCAGCAACAACATCAGCAGCAGCAGGAACAACGACACCAGTCACAGTCGACGAAGCACCACCAACACCCGCGCAACAGCTGAATCCAACTCAACGTGAAGTCCACCGAAGCGCCAACCTCGTCGCCAGCTTTTACTCCAACTCCGACGCATATCAGCGTTCACCTGGACACCGCGCCTCTGAAGAGATCTGGCACGCACGCACAGGACATCCAAGCAACACGGTTTTGAATAACACGATAAGAGCAGGAGTCCTCGACAAAGACTCTCTACTTCTACCCGATGGCAGAGAACTCCAGAAGGCACGAGGGACTTGCCTTATATGTCCCGAAGCTGACTTACCTCATCGACCGTTTGCTTCACATCACAACCCGAGCGCTCCAGCGTACGCACCACTCGAAAAAGTCTACAGCGACATCCTCTACAATCGCGAACCAGGACAAGTCAACTACAACTACACCATCACCTTCATCGACGCCGCCACTCGATACGTCTGGCATCGCAACCTACCCAGCCGCGACATGGCGCTCGCAGCATTCGCCGCCTGGCTACCGATAGTAGAGAGAGAGTCTGGAACACAACTGAAAAATTTCCAGTCAGACGGAGGTGGCGAGTACACCTCTCAGCGCTTCAAGCAGTTCTTGGCGGAAAGGGGGATCAAGCAACTCCTCTCCCTTCCCTACGCACATCAGCAGTAAGGTGTTGCAGAACGACTGAACAGGACCCTGCAGAACAGCATGCGCAAACTGTTACGTGGCATGCGGCTACCCAACCACCAGTGGCCAGCAGCAATGGACCACGCTGTCATGCTGCACAACTTGTTGTCGTCGTCGTCACTCCCGAACAACGCATCACCGCATCTGCTGTGGACAGGGAAGCAGGGCAGCACGAAAATGTTACGAGTTTTCGGGTGCATGGTACAGTACAGACCCCCAGAAGCACGAGCGGGAAGATTTTCGCAACGGGCACAATGGGGACTACACCTCGGCATCGAGAAAAATTACAACGCATGGAGAATCTTCGACGTCCACACAAAGGAAACAGTAGCAGCACGTGACGTGATCTTCTACGAAAGACTCACCCTTCAGACGTACCTCGCCAACTTGCACGAGAATCGGGACCTCACCAGTGGTTTTCGTGGTGACCGAGCCTTCGCGTCAGCAGCGGACGAAGCAGACTGGGATGAACAGAACGTCGACAACGCCTCGGAAGAAGCCGGACCTCTCCCATACTGCTCCGTCGACGTGCCCATGGATGAGGATAATCCTCGCGACAGTAACAACGCCGAAATCTTCTACCGTTTTGCCGACGATGGTTACGTAACACCTGTGACAGTCAACACCAACGAAGCAGAAAGGGTAGGGCCAAATTTCATGCCCGACCCAGAAACGGGAGACGAAGCAGCTTATCCCGAGGATCCAGAACTCCCTCGATACTCACAGACTGGGCTGCAAATCCTTGGTCTCGTCACCGCAGTCCATGGCGCCGGCATTCCTAAGGAGCCTGCGACGGTTCAGCAGGCTCTGGGGGGGGAACACAGGGAGAAATGGCGTGAAGCTATTGTCAAAAGTTAGAAGAAGAAAGAGGATTGAACTAGCAAGAATGAGGATACAAATAGCAAACCCTAGAAAGGTTGTACTCGCTATAGAGCACCCCACTACAGGCTAGAACAATAAGATAATATTCTGACAGCTATGGACAAAGAGCTGAAGGCACTGGAGGAGCGCAACACCTGGAAAATTGTTCCCATCGGCGTAACTCAAAATAAAAACATTCTTACCGGGAAATGGGTCTTCCGTGTGAAGACGAAAGCTGATGGCACCATCGACAAATTCAAAGCCCGCTGGGTCGTACGTGGCTTCGACCAGGAGCACGGAAGAGATTACACCGAAACCTTCGCTCCGGTCAGTCGCCACACCTCACTCCGAATTCTCATCGCTGTCGCCGCCATGAAGAAAAAGAAATTGCGACAAATCGACGTTGCGAACGCATTTCTCTACGCACCTGTGGATGCAGAAATCTTCGTCGAACTCCCGCACGGCTCCCACGGCGAACCCAACCTAGTGTGTCAACTACTCAAATCACTCTATGGGATCAAGCAGGCACCGCGACTGTGGCAGCAGTACCTACACGCCCGCCTCATCCGCATCGGCTTCAAACAACTCCCGCATGACCAGGGCATGTATCGCCTCACAAAAGGAGGCGATTACGTCCTACTAATCGTCTATGTGGACGATCTCCTCTACATTGGGTCAACCGACGACATCGCCACGTGGTTCGAAGGGGAGCTCCATAAAGACCTCACGCTCACAGTCTCTTCTACGGTTACGCAATACCTCGGGCTCAACATCCGTGAGGAAGAAAACGCAATCTACCTAAGCGCCGAGAAGTACGCCGACACTATCGCGAAACGCTTTCGTCTCACACCAAGCGCCATCTCCACGCCTTATCGCTACGCGTCAGGAACCGAAAAGGGGCAATCTACTCTACTTAAACCCGCCGGCATACGCGACTATCAGAAGAAGCTTGGATGCCTTCTTTTCGCAGCAGTCACATGCCGTCCCGACCTATCCTACTCCGCGAGTCAGCTCGCTACCTATCTCAAGAGACCTGAAGCAGAGCATCTGGCGGAACTCGATCGTGCTCTCCACTACTTCGTCAGCACCGCGACGATCGGACTAACTTATCACAAAAACGTGACTACACCGACCAAACTAATCGGCTACGTCGACGCCGATCACGCCGGCGACACCGACAACAGGCGCTCACGCACCGGCTATCTCTACCGCCTTGAGCCTATCGGTCCTATCTCCTGGCAGTCGAGCAAGCAGGAGTTAATCGCACTATCTTCAGCAGAAGCAGAATATATTGCACTCTGCTCAGCCACCAAGGAGGGACTTTACCTTCGCGAACTACTGGAAGAAGCGAAGCTAGCCGAGTTACCCAGCTTCACCGTGTTCTGCGACAACCAGTCGGCAATTCGCATCGCCAACAAAAACGGCTTCGCAAACAGGACGAAACACATCGCCCTGCGCTATTTCTTCGTGAAGGACGAGATAGAAAAAGGGAAACTCGATCTGTCATACTGTCCAACATCCGAGATGGCAGCCGATTACTTGACCAAGAAACTCGGAAAGCAGAAGTTCGAATACTGCATGATGCTGACTGGACAAGGCCACGTCACCAGCAGCGACACTCCAGAAGCGAAGGGGAGTGTTGGAAACAATAAGTCCTAAGTGCGCTTCTGTCGTATCAAAATCCAAGGCACCAAGCGAAGCAGTCCCAATCGAAGCATCGAGTCAACCTCGGAGGTTAGGGTAACCGCCTGGAGGTTACGAGAAAGTCAAAGGTCGCTGACCTTTGACTCGACAATTACAGCGCGACAGTTAAGGACACACAACTGACTCGTTACAGAGCAGTTGCCCGAGTCGTACTATATCGAACCGCAACAGCAATACAGTTATCTATCTATCTATTCGTATTCCCTGTACTCTTATATAAATCCTTGTATTTGCTTGTTTAATTTAATCTACTTTGCTCTCACACACCAGTGCAAGGTCGGTTCACAATCCTCATTAAACGCTTCCGCTATTACAAGTTTCTACCCAAGAGTTCTCCTCTGCAAAGATCCTAAGGGCTATTTTTCAGCCCAACAGGCTGGAACTCGCTTCAGGGTAAAACTCGATAAGAGGATCGGCAACCCTGAGGCGACAGTGTAGCTCAATCGTTAGCCCTGGTACATCAGGGTAATGAAGGTCCTAATAAATTTACCCTACCACATCAGTGTTACCGCATTAGGGCATCAGGGTAATTTACCCTGATAAAATAGGCTCTGGATGTGTGCCTGGAATTAAGACTTACGGTATCTGTTCAAGGGCATTTCTGACCAGGTCCCTAACCTCGCTGAATAATATAATTTCACTTGTTTCTCTGCTTATATTTCCTGGTAGAAAGTATGTGGTTCCAAGTCTGCTAATGATTAAGAAATAGGTGGTTAGGTTTGGATAATGATGTCATATCATGTATCTGTACAAGAACAGGCCACTCAGAACTTGCTAATGCTGCTCGAGTGGTGCAGTGACAATTGAAATTAGAGAACTCCAAAAAGATTATTAAACCTACAAGCGAAGGCGCCCTTCGCTGCTTTGCTCTTATTCAACAACCCACCCCCACCACAGCCAGTTACCCATTCGAAGCGCGAGTCGCGCAAACCTAATAGGTCCAATCGCTGGGAAGGTTAACAGCGGGAGCAGCGACACCAGCAGCAGCAGCTGCGCGGGCCCGGGACCTACCTCCCTTACCGCCCTTCCTGCCACTCCCCGCAAGCATCTCCGCGGGGGCAAGCTTGATAACGGGGGCGGCGCGCACACCTGCGCATCCTCCACCGCGCTTCGGGCCAGGAGCGGCAGGCTTCGCGGCGGCGGGCCCGGAAGCGGGGGCAGCGCCTCCAGGAGCGGCGCGGTTGAGAAGGACGTTGTTATTCTCGTCGACATCGAGGCCGAACACGTGCACGAGGCGTGCGGGAAGGTACACTGTTGCGCCAGGACGCTGGGACTTGCGCCCGGCGTTGCTGGTATCGGCGGAAGGCTTGGCGGAAGCGGGTGCGGGGGCAGCACGGGGAAGGAAGACGCCAGTGCCGTTGCCGGGCGCCTGCCCCTTGCGCGAATCCGTCTCGCATTCCGACACGCGGCGGAGTGGGGAGCCCTTGGCGACCTGCGCACCGTTGTGGTTGTTGCGCCTGTGGGGCTGCTGTCCCACGCGCCTGTTATTCCCCTGCTGCTGCGCCACCTGATGGTTGTTCGCATGCTGGCGGTTGCCGTTGTGGTTCATCTGCGGAGCGCCGTACGCGGGCGCCTGGTGCATGTGGCGGGAGGCGGGTACGAACGGCTGGGCGGCTGCGCGCGGGGGACCGGCGCAGGCGGGCTTAGCAGGCTCGGGCTCCAGCGCGAGCTCCTGAATTCTACCCGCTGCGGCAAAGAGCAACTCCCAGGCCTCCGCGTTGGCGTTCTGGCCCAACACCGACGTCGGGGAACCGCTGCGGGGAGGCGAGGTGAGGGAGGAAGTGGAGGAGGTGGTGGAGACGGAAGACTGCGACCAGAGACGGGAGGAGAGGCTGGACGTGCGCGAGACGGAAGGCGAGGAGGTATGCGAGCTCGAGGGGCTGGAGCCGCGGTTGCTGTGGCTGGCGATGCTGGCGCTAGAGTGGCTGTGCGCCATGCCGAGTGCGCGGGAATGGTAGGTCATGGCGTCGGGGTGATGCGGCGCAGGGTAGTGGCCGTTAGGGGTGGAGTAGGAATGGCGGCTAGCGATGTCGCTAGAGGCGTCGCTCGAGTCGGAATCGTCGTCGTCGGCGATGCACGACTGTGCGACCCACTCGGCGATGGACCCCTCGTCGCCCTCCGCAGCGGGCGCCTCTGGCTCGTCGACGAGCCACGTGGGGAGATTAAGGTCGTTGGAGGAGGGGATGGAGGAGATGGATTGAGGCGATTGCCATGCGTTGGGGAAGGATGCTACCGGCGCAACGAAAGCCGAAGTCATACCGAAGGCGTTCATGTTGTACTCCATTGGTGCTACGAGACGGAATCGGACTTAGACTGAAGGAAGGCGTCTGACCGCGTGGGGGCTGGCGATGTGCTTGAGGCTGAATGGCTAAGGTCCAGAAACTCAGGTGGGAGTTGAGTGCAAAAATTTCCACTTCACTTGGATGCTTTTGTGGTTGGGTTGTTGCCAGATTGTAGTTGAGTTGAAAGAGAAGGTTGAAGGCACGAAAGAGCTGGTGACGAGTGGACGATGGATCACTGGTTCTTGTACTAGTCACTTTCTCCCCCCAAGCACACGACAAGATGTGGGTGCGGCGCGACCGAAGCGCCAATCGTTCAGGAGGACTGTTTGAGAACGAAAACATTCGCTGCTGCCTGACCTAGCCGAAGCGCATGAGGATGGGCCTACCTGACTGTTCTGACCTAGCGAAGAAATCCCAAGGAGCTGCAGTGCCGCAATCAAGCGCAGGTGCGCAGGGGGATCTCCGTATCATGTGCTCGGGAAAACCATTCAATCCCAGGACCTGCCTGCGGCTCCGGATTTCCATTTCTCTGATATTGCTGTTCAGCGGAAGCCTCGGAACGGCCCTGAAGGGGTCCGTCAGAGCAAAATGAAGGGATGCTCGGAAATACCACCTGCGCCTCGTTACGGAGCACTTTATGATTTCCCCAACATCTGCAAACCAACCTGAAGTGGTGCCGCAGGAAGACATCCGGTTTTCATGTTTCGTCCAAAATTCCATCGAGGGCTGCTAGGTCAGCGGAACAATCATGACGCGAAGGCAAAGGGAGAGTCACTATAGGGCGGCAGCATTGCCGACCTTATTGGTTCCAAACGTAGCGGCCAGGCATCAGGATGACGCTCAGGGTGGCAAGAACTTTCCAACTTTTCGATTTTCTATAACGAATAAGAGCACAGTGCAATCACATCTACAATGTCTTCTAAGAGCCAAAGTCTCACAGAGTGTTGTTTTGATCAAAACATTGAAAGTAATATAAACGTCTTAGCATACATTCACAACACAAAAAGAGAACTTGTTTATGAATTAATGAGTGTTATAAACTCAGCATGATAGTTTCCTGAGGATCAAAGTTAAGAACCTACCTCATCGTCATGCAGTAATTAGCACTTTCTTGTTTCGCTTAGAGTAATTGTTTACACGAATCACTTACTAGAGTGGTGAAGTGGAGTTCGACCAGCAAGCGTACTTCGCGCAACTTTCCATGATCCACTTTCTCACGGCGTACTGGTCTCGGGCGTCAAAATCACCCGTATGAGGCTCTCGTGTCGTGTGGCCGACAAGTAAATGGCTCGCTGGAGCAAACTGGTGCCAGTGCCCTGGGCTTTTGTTCCGCTGGCACAAACGCGCAAAATCCCAACTCAACCAATCCCGAGACACCAATAATTGGTTTCATTTCGAGGACTTCTCCAGGAATTTCAATCCCAACACCAATAATTCGGAGAAATCCATGGCAACTATTTCAACATTCCTCACCTTGACAAATCACACAACGTTTGCCTTCTAGGCAGTCTCTCCTGCTTGTTTCGCACCCTTTTAGTTGTGCTGCCGCCGCGACCACGTGTTACTGTTTCACGAGTTTTTTGCCTCTTGATTTGGTCGCGATCGAGCAGGGAACATCCACCCAAGCACGAAACAATAATGGATCGCAGGCGCCGCTGGGGACCGAGAGCGAGTATTACGCCGGCCGCTTCTCGAGACACCGCTGCCACGTGTCTACAATCGCCATCGTTCAAACGCCCCGCGCATAAGTTACATTCGCTATTCACCGCTGGGCTCCTGGCTGCCGTCGCGTGGTCCGCATTGGTTCATCGCGCGTCGGCACAAGCATCGTACAGAGTTCCGACGCTAGGATTCTGTTGGGGCCGCGTGGCGCACCAACCTATACCTCCGGAACTCGTTGTCGACATGCTCGAGGTGAGCCTTCCACACCATGCCTCGTGCTTCCGCTTATGATCCCCCATTGCCTCGTGATGCATCGTCATGCCTAACACGTACCGTGTGGCAATAAATGAATTCCAACAAACAGCTGGATTTTTATCACAACTTTGTCGCATAGTGTGCCCTGAACGACTTTTCGACCATGGACATTCTTGTGCATATTCTGCCCATGCCGCTTCAATAATACAGTCGCAGCAATACAAAACAAGTCACAGTAATTCACACACACAATATTCTCCGAAACTCCGCTCGCATGCCCCTCGCGCCCCTCCGACCTCCCACCTCGCCCCTTCTTCCAATTCCCTTTCCCGGCCTCCCCTCCCAAAACCCTCCCAAGCCCCCTTCCCTGCGGCAACGTCATCCCCTTTCCTCCTCCCTTACCCTCCTCCCCCCCCTTTCCCCAACCCCCACACCTCCCGCTCCCCCTTCCCTTACTCCGGTTTCCCCGCACCCCGCGCGCGCGTTCCCACGCGAGCAGGCGAACGGCGTGTCGAAGGTGAAGCTGTTCGACGCGGATCCGAACGCGCTGACGGCGCTGGCGAACTCGGACGTGGAGGTGATGGTGATGGTGCGCAACGAGTTCCTCGAGGGCATGGCCATCAAGCAGGAGAACGCCGACAACTGGGTCTACAACAATTTGCTCGACATCCTCCCCACCGGCGTCAAGATCACGTGAGTGCAGTTTGCGCGCGCGCGCGAGAGGGGGGAGCTCTGAGACGCCTCACAAATCCTCAAAAGTCGGTTTTATGCTGCACCTTACAGTGTCTCGCGAATGAGTCTAGAACAACCTGCTTGACGTCCTCCCCACCGGCGTCAAGATCACGTGAGTGCGCGGCGGGGGTGGATGGGGAGGGGGAGAGAGGGATGTGGGGGATGGGAAGGAGTAGGTTGCGGGGGAGCGGTAGGTGCGCAGAAGCTGGGGGAAAAGCGGGGGATGGGGGTATAGAGTTTAATGGCGGCGCTCACGTTACAGAAGTGTGAGGAGGCGAATGAAAGGGTTTTGGGGGGCTAGTTGCGCCCCTGTCGTCCCCTTCACCGCCATCCTCACCCTTTCCCCATCCATGTTTCGAAAACCTCAAAAATCGCCCCTGTTGCACCGCTGTCCTCATCCCACCTACATCCAATCCCCACCCAAACCCTGTCCTACCCTCATCCCCTGTCTCTACCTCTTCCCACTCTCTCTCCTCCACCTCTCCGCACCATCCCCCCCACGTCCGCCCCATCCTCCCCCCTCCGCCCCGGCCCGTCCCTGCACACGCACAGATCTGTGTCGGTGGGCAACGAGCCGTTCCTCAAGTCGCGGCACGACTTTGACAAGTTCTTGGCGCCAGCCGTGGCAAACATGTACCGGGCGCTCCAGAAAGTGGAGCTGGACCAGCGCATCAAGATCACCGTCTCCTTCAACACGGACATCATCAAACCCGAGGACGACCCCGCCCTGGGCGAGTTCCAGGACGTGTGGGTGGAGCAGATTAAAGCCATTGCTAAGGTTATCAACGAGACGGGATCGTTCTTTTCTGTGAACATCTACCCGTTTTTTTCGTACAAGGACACGCCGCAGATCGACAAGAATTTCATCTGGTTCGATAACCCCGGGCAGGGGTGCGTGGGGTTTGGCAACAAGACCAAGACGCAGTACTGTAACATCATGGACGCGTCGCTCGATGGCGTGATCTACGCGCTGGAACGAATCGGTTACCCCAATGTGAGACCAGGGATGGTGGATGGGGGCGGGAGGGGGAGCGAGCGAGGGAGGGAGGGAGGGAGGGAGGGAGGGAGAGAGGGAGAGAGGGAGAGATGGAGGGAGGGAGGGAGGGAGGGAGAGAGGGAGAGAGGGAGGGAGGGAGGGAGGGAGGGAGAGAGGGAGGGAGGGAGGGAGGGAGGGAGAGAGGGAGGGAGGGAGGGAGGGAGGGAGGGAGGGGTGTAGCAGACGGTGACATGAATCTGGAGCTACTTTCTTGCTACTATCTTTCATGAATCTGGACGAAGACACTCTTCGTTTCAACTCTCCACCTCTTCCTTCGTTTCTTTGTTCCCTCCTCACTACGTTTTCTCCTCTCCCCACATCCCACCACGGACACAAAGCCAGCCCTTCTCCCCTTCGCCCACGTGCATCTGCTGCAACATGCACACAGTCGCCATGACCCCAACCCTTGACACCTCCACGTCCCTACAGCTGAACCCCCTCCCTTCCTCTCCACCTTCTCCCTCCCCTTCCTCTTCCCCTTCCCGCTCTCCTTTCCCACTCCTTTCCCCTCCAGATGGAGGTGGTAATCGGGGAGGCAGGCTGGCCGAGCGATGGCCATCCCAATGCCACACTAGCACTCGCCCAATCCTACAACAATGGGCTCCTGCGCCACATGCTCTCCGGCAAGGGCACGCCGCACCGCCCGAACCGCCTCTTCACCTTCTACGTCTTCGACCTCTTCGACCAGGACGCCAAGAGCACCGCTCCCGGCCCCTTCGAGCGCCGCTGGGGCGTTTATGACGACTACGGCCGCGCGAAATACCCGCTGGATCTGTCCGGGGGGAAAGGTTGGAAGCTCGCTCCGATCCCGAATGTTGTGCGGCTGCGCAATCGCTGGTGCCTGGCGAACCAGGCGCTGTACTCGGAGAAGGGCGCGAGTGCCCCGGTGGTGGACGCGCAGTTCTCGTCGAAGATCTCCACGGCTTGCGAGAAGAGCGACGCGGGGGATTTCGCGGATAAGGCGGACTGCACGCCGCTGATGATGCGGCTGTCCACTCCCGGGCTGCAGTGCGCTGCTAAAGGCGCCAGCCAGACTCTGCTAGCCAACGCCTCGTATGTGCTGAACGCGGTGTATCAACTGTCAGGGCAGCAGGAGGCTGTGTGCACGGATGAGGGGTTGGGAGTGGTTGTGACTGACCAGGACCCGTCGACGGGTAGTACTGGGGGGAATGACAATTGTACGTATGAGCTGGGACTGGATGTGGACGCGATGAAGGCGTATACCCAGCCCAGTAAGGCGTTCTCGTGGAAGGTTCTGGGGTATATTGTGGCGCTGGTGCTCGTGCTGGCGAATATGCTGTGAGGGGAGAGGGGAAAGGGGAAGGGGAGAGGGGAATGGAACACAAGGGAAGTGAGGGGAAGGCAGAGGGAGGGATCAGGTAACCAAGGTGGCAGGGGATGACATGCCTTGGCACTTCTTTGTGTATCTTGGGCTCACTCTGCTTTGTTCCCTCCCATCAAGCGATCCACGAAACACACCTCCTTCGCCTCTGTTCTTAGCAGGGCTGTTACCAGTGCTTGCTAGTGTAGCTGTAGTGGGTTTATAGACAGGATTTGGGGTTCAGTCAGTTCAGTGTTTAGGGAGTGGTTAGCACTAATCAGTATCTCTGGACTGGATTGGACTGTCTGTTTGGTACGTGCAGCAGAACGGTAGCTACCAGTAGATTGCATGCAGTGTTCCAGTCACCATCAACCAACGCAACACTTGTTAGGGATTCAGACAAAGACTGCTGTCCTCAACTCTAACAAGTCTTCTTCGCTATGTAAGCAGCAAGTAAGCTTTTAAAACGCAACCACATCTCAGCAAGTAAATGGAGAGATTTATTTCGAACACCCAGACCAGCACCCCCCCTCCCCCCTGCCAACCCAGCATGCGTCATCCAAGGTCATGTTATGTCAGCCCAGTTAGCTCAGCCCAGCCCATGTTAGCACCTGCTACCAGCAGCGCACCAGCCCAGCCCATGTCACCATGCGCGCATGTTCAGTAGTGAAACCCAGAAGGAAATGTCATGTCATGCCATGCATGCAGCATGGCATGCAGGCAACCTGGCATGCTCATGGCAGCCAAGCACTGCACGAGGAGTGCACATATGCTTGCCTGCCTGCCTGAGCTCCACTCTCCCCCCTTCCCCTTTCCCCCCTCCCACCTCCTCCCTACCACCCCCACAACAACCACCACCATCATCACCACTAGACCCACAAAGCACTGTCGTAAACGCGCCATATGTATGTCCCACGACCATCCACCCCATCCGCTCCACCCAATCCCAATTCCCCAAAGATCCCTGTGCATCAGGACGGCATGTCGAGTTTGAAGAGAACGCAGCGAGCATCCTCTGGCAGCTCAGGGTCGCCATCCCCGGGGTTCATGTTGAAGGTCATCCCCAAGAGGTCCATCTGAGCCGTGGTCACCACCACTCGCATGTACGCCCCCCCCACTGCTGCTAGAGAGTCTGCTGACTGGAATGTGCGCTGCATCAGGTCCTGTTGGCGGTGGAGCCGGGGGGGATGGGGGGGAGGGGGATTGTGGGGACAGCGGGATTGGGGGACGGGGAAACAGGGGACGGGGGAGTGGGGAACAGGGAAATAGGGTGACGTTGGGATAGCGGGAGTCCTCTGGCAGCTCAGGGGTCGCCATCCCTGGGGTTCATGTTGAAGGTCATCCCCAATAGGTCCATCTGAGCCGTGGTCACCACCACTCGCATGTACGCCCACCCCACCGCTGCTAGATTGTCTGCTGACTGGATCATGCGCTGCATCAGGCCCTGTGGGAAGGGGGGAAGGGGGAGGGACGGGAGGATTGTGGGGGGGTGCGGGAAGGAGGGATAGAACACGGGGGGTGGGGAAACGGAGGTTGCGAGAGGTAAGCGAGCAAACAAGTGAACAAGCAAACAAGCGAGCGAGCTAGCAAGCAAGCGAGCGGGCAGGCAGGCAGGCAGGCAGGCAGGCAGGCAAGCGAGTCAGCAAGCACGACTTACAGATCCGGTCAGGTAAAGCTGGCCGCCCACGTCCTGCCTCTTCTCCTCAGGACACACCACCTCGCCCAGGCCACTGTTAGCCGCCACCACGCGCGCCACATACTTGCCCACACTCGCCCGCAGCCCTGCGGACGACAGCCGTATGTCCCCACCTCCGCCTACTTGCAAGGGGTTGAGCTGGAATGTTGGGATCTGGCCTTGATAGCCGTCGAAGAAGAAGGAGCAGGTGGAGGGCGAGGGGATGCAGGCGGCGGGGTCGCTTGGGGTGGATGGGGATGGGGATGATGGGGAAGGGGAAGAAGGGGTGGATGGGGATGGAGTGGAGGGGGAAGGCGCGGAGGGGGAAGGGGTGGAAGGAGAGGAAGGGGAAGGGGAGGAAGGGGAAGGGGAGGAAGGGGAAGAGGAGGAAGGGGAAGGGGCTGAGGGGGAGTCGGAGGGCGAAGGGGAAGAGGGTGGGGGGGACGGTGAGGAGGAGGGAGGGGATGGGAAGGGGGAGATAGGTGGCGAGGAGGACGGGGAGGGGGATGAACTGGGGGGAAGGATGGGGGGGAGGATGGGCGGAGGGGCGGATTGGGAAGGGGGTTCTGCGATTGGTGGTGAGAGGGGTGAGGGGGTTAAGGAGGGGGAGGGGGGTGAGGGGAGTGAGGGGGGTAGGTTAGGGGCGGAAGGGGCAGGGGCACTGGGGGAGGCAGATGGGCCTAGAGTGGTGCCAGGTGGTGGGGGGGACGCGGGGAGGGTAGGGGGAGAAGGGGGGAAATCGGAAGGGGAAGAGGGGGAATCGGACGGGGAAAGGGAGGGGGAAGGGGAAGAAGATGGTGGGGGTTGGGGGATTTCGGGGGCTTCTGGGGAGAGTGCATTTGGGGGAGAAGAGGGGGAGGATGGAGAGGTGGTAGAAGGGGGTGCAGACGGGGAAGAGGGGGAAGATGGGGAAGAGGGGGACGAGGGAGAAGAGGGAGAAGAGGGAGAAGAGGGGGAAGAGGGGGAGGAGGGAGAAGGGAGAGAAGATGGGGGAGAGGAGGAAGAAGGGGCAGAGGGCGAGGAGGGAGTAGGGTTTGTTGTGCCAGGAGATGGTGGTGGTCCGGACGAGGGGGGAGAAGCAGGAGATGGGGAGACGGGAGATGAGGGGGAGGCTCCAGGAGGGAGGAGTGGGGAGGAGGGGGAGGAAGGGGAGGGGGGAGAGGAGGGAGATAGGGAGGGTGGAGGAGCAATGGAGGGGTTAGAAGCGGCGGGAGGTGAAGGGGGCGCTGGGGATAGAGGTGGGCCAAGGGACGGCGGAGGGGCGATGGGAGAAGGAGGAATGACACCCGGGGGTGAAGTTTCTCCTGAGGGGGGAGCGGTTGAGATCCCGCCAGGGGGGGGAGGAGGTGACATTCCGCCAGGGGGGAAAGGGGGTGACACCCAGCCAGGGGGAGGAGGGGCAGTTGGGGGAGAGGCGGCGCTGCTGCCGGGGCGAGGAGGGGAGGATGATGGTGGGGGGCGCGGACTGTTGGTAGCGGGGGACGGGGGGGAGTTGACAAGTGGCGGGGGAGGGGTGGTGGTGGAATTCGGGAAGGAAGGATCACTAGAGGATGGTGGGGGGCGCGGACTGTTGGTCGTGGGGGACGGGGGAGAGTTGGCAGACGGTGGGGGAGGTGTGGTGGTGGTGTTTGGGGATGGAGGGGCGTTGGTGGATGGTGGGGTAGGAAGAGTGGATGTGGGAGGAGCAGGAGGAGCAGGAGGAGCAGGAGGAGGAGAAGGAGCGGGAGGAGGGAGTGAGTCGACAATGTCGCTGAAACCAGTCGTGCCTGATGGGACACAGGAGTGGGGAGAAGAAGGTGAAAGAGAGTTTGAAGCTATTTACCACGCATTTGTTCTGGTCGAGTACCAAGAAGAAAGAAGAAGAAGAAGAAGAAGAAGAAGAAGAAGAAGAAGAAGAAGAAGAAGAAGAAGAAGAAGAAGAAGAAGAAGAAGAAGAAGAAGAAGAAGAAGAAGAAGAAGAAGAAGAAGAAGAAGAAGAAGAAGAAGGAGGAGGAGGAGGAGGAGGAGGAGGAGGAGGAGGAGGAGGAGGAGGAGGAGGAGGAGGAGGAGGAGGAGGAGGAGGAGGAGGAGGAGGAGGAGGAGGAGGAGGAGGAGGAGGAGGAGGAGGAGGAGGAGGAGGAGGAGGAGGAGGAGGAGGAGGAGGAGGAGGAGGAGGAGGAGGAGGAGGAGGAGGAGGAGGAGGAGAAGAAGAAGAAGAAGAAGAAGAAGAAGAAGAAGAAGAAGAAGAAGAAGAAGAAAAAAAGGACATCATGTGGCATGAGTTGTCTTCTTACATACTTCCAATGCAAGCAAACCTCTGAACCACTTCCCCAGATTTGAAGACGCCCTACCTGCTCCTGCATGCCTCTGTCAGTCTCCCCTCACCTCTCCCCCTACGTCCCTCCCTCCCCTTGTACCCCTCCCTGCTCCGCTCCCCTGGCCCTTCCCTGTGCCCCTGAATCCCCCCGTCCACCCACCCTCCCCCACATACACCCCCCTCTTCCCCCTCCGTGGCTGAAACTCACAGTTGGTGTCGAGCCACGAGAGCTTGTTGGCTTCATTGTCAAACACCATGTAGCGGTTGGTCAGCCATGAGTCTGCCGTCCGTGTGATGTGCACAGAGGGGGCGGGGAGCATGCAGGGGCGAGGGGATGACGGGGCGGACAGTGGAGGAGGTGGGAGGGGAGAGAGGTGAGCGAGATGGCAGGGAGGAGAGCTTGTTGGGCGTCATTGTCGAAAGCCATGTAGTGGTTGGTTGGTCAGCCATGTGACTGTGGCGCTCGCAGGGGGGGAGGGGATGTGAGAGAGAGAGAGAGAAGGTTAGAGGGGACTTTTGTAGGGTACGTGTGGTGTGGTAGTGGGTCACAGTGTCGTGTAGCAGTGGCTGGCAGGCAGGCATCATGAGCTGAGCCTGTGAGCTCGGTAAAAAGGCTTTTTAAGGGGGTGCAGAGTTGCAGACAGGTTTTGCAGGTGATTGCAGAGTGAGAGACTGACCCGGGATGATGGTGTGCTGGTTGGTTGCTGTTGAGCGACTCTTGAGTTGACTCAAAACCCAAAAGGCACCTCGTTGTTACAATGGCATGGCATGGCCCAGACTGGCTGAGACCGACTGACCCGGGATGATGGTGTGCTGGTTACTGTTGAGCGAGGGGGTGATGGCGAAGCAGATCACGTCCGCTCGCACCTGAGAGGGGCGCAGGGCGGATAGGTGGAGGGGGGATACGAGGGGAGCGACGGAGGGGAGGGAGGGAGGGAGGGAGGGAGGGAGGGAGGGAGGGAAGTTGAGAAAAAGGACAAGAAGAGAATTGACTTGAAAACAAAAAAGCAGAAATATGGTAACTGGAAGAAAAAAGTAGAGAAGGGTAACTGGAAAAAGGTAGAAAAGGGGAACTGGAAACGTAAAAAGGGAGATTGAAAAGCTGAGGTCGGAGTGGAGACTGACAAGGTAGAGGTATGCGGAGGGCTGCACTGTGAACAGTGCTCCGTTGGCGAGGATGAGCGAGAGCGTGGGGAACTGGGCGAGAAAGGTGCTCTCTGTTGGCCTGTGAACAATGGGGTGACGCAGAGAGAGGGCGAGAGAGGAGGTAACTTTTGAGTCGACTCAAAAGTCACAGTGTGGGGAACTGGGCGAGGAAGGCGCTCTCTGTTGGCCTGCGGACAATGGGGTGACACAGAGAGAGGGCGAGAGAGGTGGGAGGTGAGAAGCGGGTGGAGGGATTTTTTGAGAATATTAACAAATTCCCTGAGAATCAGGTGGAGATGATTTGAGGCGAGGAAGAGGAGTTCGAAAGCAGGTGGGAGGATGTGTGGTTGGAGTGGAGGGAGGGAGGAAGGGCGGGGGGAGCGACAGGTCAACGAGAGGCAACGCGGGGAAAAGAACGCCGGAAGAAAGGTACAGAGAGAGTAAACGGCAAGGGGTTGAGGAAAGGACGGCGGGAGGAAAGGAAAGGGAGGAGGACAGGAGAGCGGAGGGTAGGAGAGGAAGGGGTAGGAGAGGAAGGGGTTTGCAGAGGGTGGAGTGTAACTGAGCGTAGGCGGAGGCGTTGAGGCAGTCCACTCCCTGCTGGTCGCTGAGAGTATAGTCGTACTTCAACCCCGGCACCGCCACCAGGTACTGCTCCCCAGCCGTGCGAGAGGGTGGGTGGGTGGGCACACGGGGGTGGAGGGGAAGAAGGGGATACAAAGTGCGCGTGCAAGTTTGTGAGACCAATTAGAAAGGCAGTTGATTCCTTGCTGGTCGCTGAGAGTACATTCCTCCTTCAGGTGCTGGTTGCTGGATCGGCACCGCCACCAGGTACTGTTTCCCTCTGCGAAGGTGTTAGTGATTCATGCCATGCAGACACACGGGGGGTGAAGGAAACGACTTGCAAGGACTGGCGCCGCCACCAGGTGCTGCTCTCCCCCCACGCACATGTTAGTGAGGCATGCCATGCGGGCACACACGGAGGGAATGAAGGGAACAAGACGTGTCAAAGGTACTTGCAAGGTCCTTGCAAGGACCGGCACCGCCAGGGTTTAGGGTGCTGCTCCCCCCACGCACATGTTAGTGAGGCATGCCATGCGGGCACACACGGGGGGGGTGAAGGGAACGAAGGGGGTGCAAGGCGTGCATGCAGTGCGGAGGTTGAGTTGGGCGAATGGGTAAAGGGGCGAAGGCGAAAGGGTAAAGGTTTTCACTTGAGCGGGCACGGCGTGGTAAACCTGGTCTGTTGTGTTCATTTCACCTGGGTGGCCATGGCCTGGTATGCCTGCGTGGGCAGCACAGTGATGGAGGCGGATGAGTCGAGAACAGTGCCACCGTTGCCAGAGGCGTCCAGGGGCGGGAAGGCGGAGCGTGGCAAAGCGAGCGTTGCGTTCCCCACTGCCATGCCCGTGACGTTTATGAAGTAGAAGGGCCTGCATGGGGAGGAGCGAGGGGAAGGAGAGTGAGGGAGGGGAGAGGGGAGAACGGGTTGAGAAAAAGTGCACAAGACGTTCAAGAAAGGGCCTGCACGCCCCGCTGCCATGCCCGAGACGTTTATGAAGTAGAAGGGCCTGGGATAGGATGGGATGGGCGGGGATGGGAGTGGGGAGAGAACGAGGGGGGAGTTAAGTTTGGCAAGAGGGTGAAATGATCTTCTATTGACAATAAATACAGCTGCTCCTGATTCACTCACGCACCCTCTCAGCCATCCTCGCCTCGCACCCATTGGCACTCTCATCCACCCTTACACCGCTCATCTGATCTCATCTCATCTCGTCCCCCAACCCCTCCCTCCATCCCTCCCCGGCTTGATTGCCTGCCAACTCACTCAAAGTCGCTGGACACAATGGGGGTTGACTGTGCGCCAGCAGGCACGCCCTTCACGCCCATCAGCAGCTTCCCCGCACCCACTCCCACACCCCCCGCATCTGCCCCCGCACTCCCCCCCCCAGCAGCAGCAGCAGCCGCAGAAGCGGCAAAGGCAGTGACGCGTGCGCCCGGGTCCCCCTCCATGCAGAGCGAGAAGGCGTTGCTCATGGCGCCCTGCGCTGCCAGCTGCGAGAGAGGCGACAGCGCCCCCCTCCCCATGCCAAACACGCCGTTTGGGGCCGCGCTCCTGCCGGATAGGAAGCCGGTCTGGTACCGCCCGCACCTGGTGCCGTGGGGTGGGGTGCAGTGGGGTGGGGTGTGGTCGGATGAGATGGGATGGGATAGTATGGGATGGGATGGGATGGGTTTAGGCATGCCCGTCAGGTGGGGGAGCGTGTGTGGGGTGGGGTGGTGATGTGGCGGGGAAAGCGCACAGCAAGACAGCAAGGCCTGGCATCTCAACTCAACTCAGCTTAGCGCCAACCTCGATGCCGCAGCAGCAGAGCAGCAGAGCAGCAGAGCAGCAGCAGAGCAGCAGAGCAGCAGCAGAGCAGCAGAGCAGCAGAGCAGCAGCAGAGCAGCAGAGCAGCAGCAGAGCAGCAGAGCAGCAGCAGAGCAGCAGCAGAGCAGCAGAGCAGCAGCAGAGCAGCAGAGCAGCAGCAGAGCAGCAGAGCAGCAGCAGAGCAGCAGAGCAGCAGCAGAGCAGCAGAGCAGCAGCAGAGCAGCAGAGCAGCAGAGCAGCAGCAGAGCAGCAGAGCAGCAGAGCAGCAGCAGAGCAGCAGAGCAGCAGAGCAGCAGCAGAGCAGCAGAGCAGCAGAGCAGCAGCAGAGCAGCAGAGCAGCAGCAGAGCAGCAGCAGAGCAGCAGAGCAGCAGAGCAGCAGCAGAGCAGCAGAGCAGCAGCAGAGCAGCAGAGCAGCAGTAGAGCAGCAGAGCAGCAGCAGAACAGCAGCAGAGCAGCAGAGCAACAGTAGAGCAGCAGCAGAGCAGCAGCAGAGCAGCAGACCCACCCAGTCACCCTCCCTCATCCCATCCATCCACTCATCCCTCTCACTCTCCCCTCCATTGCCATCAATCCCTCCCCGTCCCAACCACCAAGCACTCCCAGGCTAGCAGCACCGCTCGCCTCACCCGAAGGTCACGTTGGCAGCAGAGCTGCTACCCTTGGAAACAGCAGTGTGCAGGGCATCCCTGAGTAGATTCCCCACGCTCCCAGCCTCCCTCGGGCCCCGAGTAGGTAGCCGCGTACTGGCACAGCGGGTTGGGCGCTGGCAACGCGGAGGACACGCCTCTGGACTCCTGCTCTCTTCCACCACCCTCCCAACAACCATAACCACTCCCAGCCACCACACTGTCTCAAACCACCACACTCACCTAAAGCCACCACACTCTCTCAACCACCCTCCCTCCCTCCCACAAGCACTCCGCCTCACCCGAAGGTCACATTTGCAGCAGAGCTGCTGCCCTTGGAAACAGCAGCGTGCAGGGCATCTTGGAGCAGGTTCCCCACGCTGCCGCCCTCGGGCCCCGTGTAGGTAGCCGCGTACTGGCACAGCGGGTCCGGAGCTGGCAGCGCGGAGGAGACGAGGCAGCCCACGGAGGCCGTCTTGTCCTCCGCAGCGAAGGACGTGCACGCGGGCGAGAAGCAGTAGTTGGACTGGGAGGTCGCTGAGAGGGCCGGGTCGTACGGGGGTTGCACGGGCTGATCAGGGTTGGGTGTGGGAGTGAGAGGGGCAATGAACAGGATGGCAGTGGGGGAAGTATGGGGAAGGGGGAGAGAGTGGGGGAGGGGGAGAGAGGCGGTGAGGAATGCGAGGAGGGTATGGGATGATGAGCAATGAGCACAGGAGAGAGTGAAACTCGTCTCTCTTCCCCCCTCTCCCCCTCTTCCCCTGTCACCCTCTACCCTACTCCTGCTCTTTCCCCCTCCCTTTCCCTCTCCCTTCCGTGACGTCCTCGCACCACGCCAGGCACGGAGCTCTGGGTGTTGAAGGATTTTTTTTATTTTTATTTTTTCTCAAAAAAATCCCTCCAGGCACGGAGCTCTGGTAGGCGCACTGGATGCAGTTGGTGTGGTGTGGGAGAATGTGTGCCTGCCAGCCAGGGCACCAAGGGCATCTACGCCTCTCTCTCTCTCTCTATCCAACAGTCCTTGTCTACTCGACCCCTCCCCCCCCCACCCCTCTCTCTCCCCCTCTCCCTCTCCATGCACACGCACCACGCCGCACGTGTGTGAGGGTGGGGGGGTGGGTGCTCACGCGCGCGTGTGTGTGACTCTCTCCTCTACCCTCTCTCCCCACACACGCACCACGCCGGGCACGGAGCTCTGGGTGGCGCACTGGATGCAGTTGCAGGGCAGCCAGAAGAGGTCGGACGCCGTGTCCACCAGCACTATGAACCGCTGCTTGCTCGCCCCCACGCGTACCTCCGTCAGGAACGGGCTGGGGAGAGAGGGGGGGACATGGGGGAGCATGGGGGAGAATGGAGTGCATTGGGAATGGACGATGGGAGTGGGAGATGGGGGATGGGAAAGGGATGATGGGGAATGAGGCATGGGGTATGGGGGGTGGGGGGAGAGTGGAAGAGGTGTGCGCGGGCAGGAGTGACAGTAGGTGACGTGACGAAGTGAGTGAGCGAGTGAGTGAGAAAATCAACGCCATGCCATGCCACGAATCCCCTACCTGCCATTAGTGGACACTGTCTGCAAGGTGCCATTGAACGGTTCCACGCGGGTGCGCACAACTGGGGTACTCTCTGTCCCTGACACTGTCCCTGTCCCTGCTGCTGCGGCTGTGCTTGTGCTTGTGCTTGATGGTCGCGGTCCGGTAGACCAGAGGAAGGATGTGGACTCGGAGGGGAGGCGGAAGTGGGAAGGGGCGGAGTGGCGGCTGAAGGGGGAACCGTCGTGCTGCAAAGAGGGGGGAGAGGGGAGGAAGAGCGGCGAGAGGTGAGGGGTGGGGGGAGGGAGAGTTGAGGGGGGAAGGCAGAGTGACGAAAGAGAGGGAGGAGAGGGGAAGGGGAGTTTGAAAACCAGAACACAATCTCTGTCAGTCATGCCGCATGCTGCATGTTGCACGCTGCACGCTGCACGCACGCCTCGCTTGCATGGATGGGGCACGAACGACCTCATGTGCTGCTGTGTGTACATATGTGCACGCAGTGCAGACCGGCGCAGAGCAGAGAAGCACACTGTGTTTTTCCTCTCACCTGCTGCTGCTGCAGGCCTGGCCGGACCGACAAAGTACCTCAAGGTTCCCTTCATGCCTGCATTATCGGTATTGGTATTTTCAGATTGTTTGTCTCACAAGCAAGTTCAACGAAGACTTAGTTTTATAGATCGTTCCTAATCTCTTAGAAGGCTTGCAGCGGATCGGAACCAGCTGATTTCAACCATGCCTGCATTATCGGTATTGGTATTTTCAGATTGTTTGTCGCGCAAGCAAGTTCAATGCACCTGATCTCCTCTCACCGGCTGCAGCTGCTGCTGTGAGCTTGCACCATCAAAGAAGCTCAGGGTGTCTTGCATGCCTGCATTCGCCACTCCCCTGCTGCCGTCCCGACCCTCCCTGCCACTCTCTTTCACGTCCCTGAGAGTCTCCTCACGTGGAAACTGCACGCCGAACCGAAGGACACGAGTGCAAGAGAGAGAGCGGCAAGACAAGTGAGAGGTGCTGACCGACTTTTGAGGCGCCTCAAACGACTGACTGCACGCCAAGGACAGGGGCGAAAGAGAGAGGGGCAAGACACGTGAGATGCGTTGCGTTGGCTAACGCCTCAGCAGCTGAGCGCACACAAACAGTCCTTCTTTCTTTATTCTCTTTCCGTTTTCAGACACGTGAGATCCGCGTCTGCTTACTGACCCTCCATTCTTTGACCTTCATACCCACGGCCTCCATACCCGTGCCGCCCATTCTCCCCCTTCTTGCCCTCCTCCCCGCGCTCACCTTTTTTCTCCGCCTGCTCCACCCTCCCACAGCCCATGCCGCCCTCCACACCTCACTGCCTGCTTCCTCTTGCTGTGAGGGGCACCGCAGGCCCAGGAATGGCGGTGGGGGGGGATTCAAGGAAGAGAGGGAGAGAGAAAGAAGTGTGGGTGAGTGCGTGGGAAAGAGAGTGTGTGGGGGTGGGGGTGGGCGGAAGAGGGGAGGAGAGTAGAGAGGAAACCAGTGCAGATGCACACAGCAGTGTTCGGGTCGACTCAATCATTGGCGCATTCATTGTGGTTTAGATGCACACAGTGGTTCTTATTACTCCACACCCCCACCCCCCCCACCCCCCCCCCACCCTCCTTTTCTCCCTTCCCCCACTCCCACCTCCCCCCTCTCACGCTTTTCAACATATACGCTCTATGTGAATACTCTAGCTGTCACCGTCTTTCACACCGTACCGCACTGCACCACACTCCATCCCACCCCACCCGCCCACGCCACTCAAAACGCAGCACTCACCGAGAGGCGTCTGCTGGTAGGAGCAGCGGAGGCAAGCAGCAGCGGATTGAAGCACGCGGGAGCAGCGGAACTGCGGGCGCGGGGAGGCGAAGCCGCAGCAGCAGGAGCAGCAGATGTGTCGCGGAGCCGCAATTTGCTGAGAAAGTGGGGCGCGTTGGTCGCGGTGCTGCTAGCGAGCACGAGGCACACGAGAGGCACCAGCATGCCGCGGAGCGCCGCGTCGCGCGGCAGCGAGCCGCCACGACCTACTAATTCGCGAGCTATGCGGCCGCGGCGCGTAGTCGAGTGCCGCCGCTGCGGCGGGCAAGCGTGCGTCGCTCTCCGCGTCTGCCGCTGCTCCTCGTCCGGCTCCTCACATGGCCGCCGCCGCAGTTGCACACCATTGCGTCGTCGTTTAACGAATCGGGTGGTTGTAGTTGTGTCACTGTCAGTGCTCCAGCTACCATGGGGATCACCAGCGCTGCGACTGCTGCTGCTTCTGCTGCTGCGACTATTGCGACTGCTGTGAGTGCTGCTGCGACTGTTGGAACTGGCTCCTTCCGCGCGCCGATGTGCTCTCGCGCGCATACCGGCGGTCGTCTGAACAGGCACGTGAGTTGAGTAAGAGGCGCCTAAAACAATCGGCGCGAAATGACACCTCGACGTCAGCTTGACGACAACGGTCACATTAGCCCGACGCGAACTCGACCCGATTGCGACGCGACGTCGCCGCGATCGCGACGGGAGACGTCGGCGCGACGTCAATTTCCACACAGAGCAGCTGGCACGTGACAGGCAGCTTTTACTTGGCGGAAAGCTGCTCTGTTGCGAGCGATTGATCCTGCTTCTTCAGATGCAACGTTCTTCCACTCGAAGCAGAAACGGTATCAGCAATGTTACGTCACGCGGGGCCTACGTAACGCAGGCACAGTCACACAAGTACGACTCGCCTGTTACCACGTGCAGAACATGTTACAATTGCATCTCCTTCCCGACCGTGAGCTGTGGAGGCGTGCGAGAGCTGCTGAGCTGTAGTAATCGACTGCTTCTATTTCTCAACACGCAGTAAGGGATGGTACAGTAAAAGAAGCTAATGGGCCGCCGTCCTAGCAGTGTCAGCCAAGTACTGCCGTACGGGGTGTGAGCACGACCAACTGCCATTCAACACCCTACAGAAAATAGTAGCCTCTTCCCATTTCCAGTGAACCTGTTTCAGCGCGATTTACTCAGGTACTTCGCGTTTTATAACGAGTACGGTACAGACACAAACATTCTGGGAGGCACACGCCCCAGGCGTGCTCCCTGCAAGATAGAGCAGTTAGCGATGCGAACATGCGCCGTTGTGTTGCGGCGTTAAATACATTTTTGACTTGATTTGCGCCAGTGAGAAACTTATTTGACTTGATTTGTGTAGCGCTGTGCACGAAATGCTTGTACTGCGATCGCCTGTGTGAGCTGAACACAGAGGTGATGCATGTACGGTGTGAAAAGTTTTGGGCTTTGTTCCTCATGTTGACCCAGAGCGGCGGCGGGGTTTGCTGCGACGCGAGTGTTCACGGTCTGGTTGGGGAAGGTAGCTTTGTACACTCCAACTGTAATGAGGAAGGTCCAGAAAAATCCGAACAAAATTAACTTGCAAGATTCACCACATTTTATACCCATATGATTGCCATGATGATTACTAGTACAGCAATGCTCGATATACCTTGACACATTCGTTGACTATTTAACAAATCTCATGTTCAGTGAGGATATTCGAGACCCTTAGCATAGGCATTCCATGTTCTAAGTTTTTAAAGTTCACGTCGTTCATTCCTTGCGCATCAAAAGCACAACACAGTGGCAACCAACACTTCTATTCTCGCCGAGACTGTCCACCTTCTCGTGTGTCTTGGCCTTCACATTGATGACCTCTTCTGGTGCCTGCGGAAGACAGGTCAAGAAGTTCCTGCCGTTAGAAAAATCAGCTAAAATCATAATCAGCAAATCCTCCACTAACGGTAAATCCTCATAGAAACGATCCACAAGGCTGCGGTCAATAGGTGCCGTGGGGTAAGAAATGAGATGAAAGGAGGAGAATGTGCAAGGGGGGAAGAGGTGTAACGGAAGAAAACAAGATAAGAGACTGGAATGACCGAACCTGGAGTAAGGCGGCGAGGTTGGCCTTGATCGTGGGCTTGTGCGGGCTGAGTTTGGGTCGCTGCAGGATGACAGTGGCGTCCAGGTTGCCCACCGTATACCCTGCCTCGTGCATGCGCCGCACCTGCACCCCACACAGGCGCACACCGCCAAAGCACATCGCCACGGCACAGGGCACAAGGCACAAGGCAGAGGGCATTGGGAGGGAAAATTTCGCTCCATGGAGTACGTGTGTACACCAAGTGGAACAACACCGAAACAGAATAAGAAGGGGCAATTGAAAATCCACATCCGAAGCCAACAAGGTCCCCAGGTGCTGCTCTGCTCCCTCCCATCCCCATCCACCAACTCACCGCCTCCTCGAGAAAGAGGTGGGAGGCAGCGCCCTTCCACTTGGGGTCGTTGTCCGGGAAGAGCTGGCCAATGTCTGGCAGCCCCAGCGCGCCCAGCACCGCGTCCACCACACAGTGCAGCAACACATCGCCTGCCAGGCGGACAGCAGGTATGGTAGGCGGAGGGGGGATGGTATACAAAGGGGTTGGCGGAGGAGGGGGGTGGGGCGGCAGATGGGAGAGGGAGAAGAGTGGGATGAATGTGAGCTTGCTTGAGATTTTGGTTGAAAACACGAGGAGAGAGAGGCTCGCCAGGGGGGGAGGAGGAGGAGGAGGAGGAGGAGGAGGAGGAGGAGGAGGAGGAGGAGGAGGAGGAGGAGGAGGAGGAGGAGGAGGAGGAGGAGGAGGAGGAGGAGGAGGAGGAGGAGGAGGTCCCAGGGGAGTTGAGGACGAGAGAACGACAAGAAGCAGCACATGCAGGGGCGGAATGCGCGACGTGGAGAGGCACTGCGGCATGGATGCATGAATCAAGGCGCCATGTGTGGGACAAGGGTGACAGCCTGCTCCTTCTTCCTTCTCCCATTCTTTATAAAGTTAATTGTTTCTTCTTCGTATGCTCTCGCAACCCCAATTAGGGGCAGAACGCAGACCCAATTTCGCGCCCAACCCACTTCCCTCCCCTCTCACCATGCCGTATCACCCTACCATCTTTGCCTGAATTCATATTACTTGCTTCAGTATCCCTGTTCATTTCCCCCTCCCCTCTTCATTCCCCTCCCGACCCCCTCCACCTCCCGCTTCCCTTCCCCCCCACCGCCCCCCTTGCCAATGCTCCCCCCTTCCCCTCCCTACCTCCCCCTTCCGCCAGCCCCGTGCCCTTACCGTCGGAGTGCGCGTCACACCCGCGGTCGTGCGGAATGTTTACCCCGCCGATAATAAGGGGAAGGTTAGGCTCCAGCCGGTGCAGGTCAAATCCATGCCCCACGCGGAACGGAAGCGCCGCTACCGCTGCCGGCGCCGCCGTCGCTGAGGCGACTGGCGTTGGCTGCGCCTGGCAGCGAACGGCGGGCCGGCTGGTGCGAATAAAGGTGCGGGAGAGGGGGGGTGGAGGGGATAGGGGTGCGGGGGGGAAGGGGGGGAGGGGGGAGAGGGGGGGAAAACACTATCTTTTTTCTGTTATCTGGTTCTAATGAACGAAACGGGAGGAAGGAATGGGGAAGGGAGACGCGCATATTTAATAGAAAATAGTCCAACACGAAATGTATATTTGAAGTTTAAAAAAGGACGGAAGGGGTGGGATGGGAGGGAGGGGAAGGGGAGGGGAGGAGGGGAGAAGAAATCGAGAAACAGAGACTGTGACGAAATGATATCAAACAGGAAGGATATGCGTGCGGACATTACTCCGACAGGACAACGAACGTACGCAATTGGGGTGACACATCGCAACGGTACGCTGCTCTTGGCGTTCAGGCTGTTGCCACGTGCCGCGCTTGAAGAAGCGGCGAGTGCGGTGGCGGTGGTAACGGGAGTCGTCAACGAAAGGCTCGCGATAGACGCCATGATGCACGCTGGGGGAGATCTACGAACTCAGCCTGCCGAGTAACCAGGTGGAAGGGAGCGTACGGTTGGAACAGCACGTTCAGGGATGACGACCAGAAGCTGTGATGCGGAAAGCATTACCTAGGGAATTGCGGTGTCATTTGTTCCTCTCTCGAGAATTGAGCAGAACTTGGAAACAGCATTATAGTGTCTGGTTACCAAAGGGTAAACGTTTCAACCGTTCTGATAGCATCAAAACCATACTGTACCACTCAAGAAACATCACGATTTACAGCCCGTAATTCGGTCGCATCTGCAAGCCGAATCCTGTCCAGTCTGGCTAATACGGTACTCAACGTTTCAAGACGGTGTTAAAAGGTTCTGCTTGTTGACGAAGCTGAACACGTGGATAAGGAATGCAAAATCTTGGATGTTCCTGGTGACGATGTGGCGTCATCGACAAGTAACCGATTGGTGGAGGTGAGAGGGCTGATCTAGGTGGCGAAAAATAAAACTCCCAAACTACATTCCGTGAGGACATCCGTTACAGCGTTAAAAATACTAACTACACTACCATACTTCAGCATGCAATATTTAAGCAGCCCCCCACCATCCCCACACACAAATGCTGAATCCTCGTCCTACCAACAGGCTTCTAGGGTGGAATGGTCCGTCCACGCGCTGGCCCCAACGCTAGGGCAGCTTCAACTCTCAGAGTTTGCCTTTTATCTTACACTGGGAGGATGGAGGAGGATCCTTGGTGGTGGTAGTCGCCAGAAAAGTCGCATGCAGAAGAGTGCTGACGCTTACGCTGTGATACCACTCATTGAAAACGACAGCAGCCTTGCTGGAGTCAGGGCACTTGGACATGAGAGCACCGCAGTTCATGCCACCACCGCTACCAGAGCAAGCCCACGCAACCGCGTTGCTAAGCGCCTGCTTCGTCGCAGTCGACTTCGGAACACACCATTCGAGGGAGGTGCCACCACTACCACTGCCCCCACCGCCACCACGATTCTTGCTGCTACCACCACTGGTGCCGCCACCGCTGATGCCATAACCGCCACTGGCAGCACCGCCGAGCACATTGAGAGGGTACTTGGCCTCGCCCTGCATGGTGCACAGCCCAAACGAGGTCTCAAACTTGCCCATGGCCGTGCTTTTGCGGTCCTCGTCAAACATCTCAAACAGGTACGCTCGGATGGGCGAGTTGCGCCGCTTGGGGGTGCCGCGGCCAGACAGCAGGAACAAGACCAGCGCCGTGTTCCACTCCTTGGCTGCTGCGGGTGACGCGACGGCTGCTCCTGCCGTCGGCCACCCTGTCTCGCCCACTGGAGTGGGGATGGCGGGGGGGGGGGGGGGTAGTGGCGGGGTGGAGAAAGGGGAGCAATAGCAGAGATTCTAGATGAGTGTCGGTGCTGGTGGTGGTGGTGATGGTGATGGTGGCGGGCTATACTGGTGCAGAAATGCGAGTGGGAAGAGAGAGATACAGCAGGGAAGGAGGGCATGCAAGTGCGATCCAATTCCCAGCTACAACAAACAAACCCACCGATGAAGGGCATGTTGGGGAAGCCGAGCTTCTCGAAGGACCAAAGAGCACCGTTAATCGTGGCCTCCATCAGGTTGCTGTACGGCTGCCCCTTGTCGTCAAAGCTCCCCGCGCCGCCCTTGAAGAACACAAAGTCACGCGGAATCTTGGTTGGAATCGGCGAGGTGTGTGAAGAACGGGTACACGTTCAGCACGGCGTACGAGCCTGGGAGAGCGCAGGGTGGGGTGGAGAGGCCAGCAGGGACGGAGGAGAGTGCGTTGGGAGAGAGTGAGATCCAGAGTAGTTCACTAAGATGTACATCAGCAAAGTCTCAGGCAGCTCTGTGCAGGTCTGCTTTACTGAGCGAGTGATGCGGCACACTGGGAAAAAGAACCACCTGAAAGGTTGAACGGCTACGTTAAACACGCACACACACACACACACACACACATACACACACACACACAAAAGAAGATGGATGAAATACACTGTAACATGCAAAACATCCGGAATCGTACCAGTTCGTTTGAGGAAGGATAGCAGCCTGGTGACCTCGTCTTTCACGCTCGGCACCACTTGCGTGCTCGACGGCAGGTACGCGTTCTGCAGAAAGTTCATGTGTTGCGGCGTGACCACCTTCACTCTCTGTTGTAGCTTGCGAGCCGAGAGTGCCTTGTAGAGTGACTCCATAGCGGGGACAACTGAACGGAGGAATGGGTTGCCAGGGGAAATCACCTCGTTCCCCACCTGCCGCGAATCGCCAGGATTGGATCCAAACAACGGAAAGAGATTAGGATGCCAGGCAGAAAGCAAGACGGACAGAGCACTTTTACAAATTGAGACTGAACCGCACAGAGAAGGGGGGTAATTGGACTGAGATGGGAAAAGACTGCAAAACCAGCCGTACACGTGGGAGACGAGACAGGAAGAAAGAACGGAGCACAGCACGGGGCCATCCGACGTACCGCAATAGCGAGTATATTAGTCTTCGCCATATACGGCACAATTTTCGCGTCCAACCACGCGAGAGCCGCTGAGTCGCTCTTGGCAAAATTATGGAGCAGCTGGTTGGGCACGCACGTCATCACTTCCAGGCCCGATCCAGCCAGCGCATTGAGCGCCGTCGGATCCGGCTGGAAGAGCTTGACGGCACTGAAGCCGCGCTGCTTGATGATGGAAACGGCCCGCGTGAGCGACACGGGGTTCGAGGAGAGCCCCACGCCAAGGTTTTCTCCCATCCATGGCTTGCTGCTGGCTGCTTGCGCGGCGAGCGGGGCCAAGGAGAAAGGGACAGAGGGGTCACTCAGGAAAAGGGGGAAGAGGATAGCGACTGCGAAGACGGCGAATACTCCTGGACGGAGAGCGCGAAAAGCAGACATTGCGCGGTGTCGTGAGACAGTGCGGGAAGTATGTGCGACGCGCGCGGGCGTGCAGGGCAAGCAGTGCCGCGTAATGGGAAGGAACGCCGACGGAATTGTTGAACTCTACTAGTAAGGCTGGCCCTGGAAGATCAAAGATCCTTGCCCGCATCTCCTGGTGTTTGACGATGTGGTTTACAGCCATTTATGCTACTCTCGGTGTGCGTGCGGCGCGATGATTTTCCAGTCCCGCGAGTTTAGTGAGTGACCTGCGTCCTGCGTACGCATTAAGTCTGTAGTCTCAGTATGCGTGCGGCGCGATAATCTTCCAGCCCCGCGAGTTTGGTGAGTCACGGTGACGTACGAGGTAAGTATGATGTGTTAGGGCTGCATAGCGGCGCGTCTCACGGGATTGGAACTCGAAGGTGGTGGTGATGGCCTGCCATGCTGGCTGCGTTCTGTTGGGGCACAAGCCCTGCGGGTCTTCCGCTCGAGCTCTGCGAGAGGGGTGTTCCTCGGAGGGGAAGACGGCAGCGAGGCCTCGACGGCAGCGAGGCCTCGACGAAAATTATTTCTGCGCAACGTGCGTAGCGAAACGTCCGCAGCGTACCAGCATCCACAGCGTGGTTGGGAATCTCCAACAGATCTAAACTAGGTGAACACTCTGCCTCACGAGCCTCTGCCATCTTCTGAGCCTTCAAAACTCAGCGTTACAGCTAGATGACCACAGTTGGGCTAATGTTTGTGGCTTTGTCTATATGAGAGCTATTGAAAGACCATTCTTGCTCACATTGATTCTTTGTCGAAGGAACAAAGGAGATAGAAGTGTGAATCCTTAATGGATTATCTCCTCTATGGTGTACCCTAGTATAGCCTAGAATAACATATGTACACAATTTGACACGCCCCCATATGCGAAGTGGGGAATAACAAGCGTCTACAAGACCAATAAAAAGAAGCAAGCAAAACAAAACTCAGGGTGGATCTTAATATCACCATACAGTCCGAGCACAAGCAAGTGGCCACAACTACTGCGCAGCCATAGTCCCGGTGTAGATCTCAGCCTCACGGCTTGAAACAAGTACAGATGACAAGCACGTGGACCTCTAGGACACAGAACCAGCGCCAAGACTGTACGTGTATACGAGAGAAGGGCCGGCAAATACGAGAACATAGAACTGTGGCAGAGAAGGGTCGGTGCGCAAAAACAGTGAAGGGTCAGTAGTCGACGGAGCAAATCCAAAAGCCGCAATTTTTGTCCTCAGCGTGTCGTGCCATTCGCGGGGCGCCTAACGGAGACCGTAGACTGGCCACCGGAGGCTCCACTGGGTACCCATAGGAAACGGTTCTCAGAATGTTGAATTTGTATAGCCTGAACTGGGGTACTTTATAGCGAGTACAGCCCAATTTAGGGTTTCCTATATGTACTCAACTGCTTGCTAGTGCAAACCCCCTTTTCGTGTTCTATCTTTCTACCTGCTAACTCAGACATGCTATCCGAGCGGTTAAGCTCATGGCCTGTGGGCCTACCGTTAGGTTCCGGTGCTGTCCTGTATGTCACGCGCCCCGTGGCGCGCGACGTTTTTTTTCTTCCCACCACGCGTTCGGGGCGCATGGCGGTTAGCGCGCGGCGTTTTTTTCTGCCCGCCGTGCGCCCCAAGGCGCGCGGCGGTTTCTTGCCCCGTCGACCAGAGCGTCGCCCCCCGTCGTCCGTCGAAGCGCCCCCGGGGACTTGCGCGTCGCCCCCCGTCACCCGTCGAAGCGCCCCTGGTACCCGCGCGCGGCCCATAGAGCCTGCGTGCGGCCCGTACGACCCGCGCCAGGCCCGCACGCGGCCCATACAGCTCGCGCGCGGTCCGTACAGCCCGCGCGCAGCCCGTACGACCTGCGCCAGGCCCGCGCGCGACTCGTACAGCCCGCGCGCGACCTGTATGGCCTGCGCCAGGCCCATGCGCGGCCCGTTTAGCCTGCGCCAGGCCTGCGCGCACCTGCCCTGCCGTGCGTGCACCCGCTCCCGCCCCGTGCTGCCTATGTTTGGGGGTGGCGAGTATGGGGGTGACGGGTGTATGTGCCGTCCCCTACAGCTGCCGCTGAGGGGGGGTGGATGTGTGGGAGCCGTTGGAGTGGTACTAGGGGGGTAGCGTGTGAGGAGTGCTAGGGGAACAGCAGTGGGTGTGTGAAAGGGGTGTGGGACAGCTGGGGGAGGTTGAGTGGAGGCAGCCGTCTTGTCGTCCGTAGCGCCAGTAGTCCGGAGGCTACAATCTCCGGTAGTCGCCAGTCGCCCGTGGGTCAGTTGCTCCAGCCGCTCGGACGTCAGTTGCTTCGGTAGCCACTGAGCCAATCGCTATACTGTGTCTGCAGCTTCAACCGTCACCTCCCATCTTCTCGCCCCCACAGTCTCTCCTCCTCCTCACTTGCCCTCTGTGATAGCCTCTAGCTTTGCTTATCATTGTGAACTATTGCTCTGCCTGCTTATTGTGCTGATTACACCCCACTTTGGCTATGGGGGTGTGTCAGAATGTTGTATTTGTCTAGCCTGCAGTCGGGTACTCTATAGCGAGTACAACCCAATTTAGGGTTTCCTATATGTACTCAACTGCTTGCTAGTGCAAACCCCCTTTTCGTGTTATATCTTTCTACCTGCTAACTCTGACAACGACTTAGCAAAGTTAGGTGGGCGGCGCAGCCAGATCTCTTCGTGAAGACTGCCCTGCAAGAAGGGTGTCGAGAAGTCGAAGGAGTGCAGCTACTAGTCACGCTATGCTGCATTGCGCAGTAAAACCTGAAGACTGGTCATCTTCGGTGTGGGGGAGAAGGCCTAGAAGAAGTCGACCCCTATGTCGCTGACTGAAGCCTCGCGCAACATAACGCGCCTTTTAGGCAGGCGAACAACCCGGCGGCCGCTTCAATCTAAAATCCGCATGTTATAAACTATGTTCACTCGAGGAGGGGGAACTGGATCAACGTAAGTGCTTATGGACTTCTAGGACGCCATCTTTGCATTCATGGCTGTCTGCCACTGAGAGGAGTACCGACCCGAGATCGCCTCTTTGTGAGTGCGTGAGGTCGGGATATGTAGTGCATCTGGGTCTCCCTCATGGGTAAGCAGCATGATAGCAAGATGAGGTACTGCAACCGCAAAGCACTCAAGCTCAAACTTCCTGTCCTCAAGGGCATCACAACCAAGGATAAGTGCCATAGTGTGAGTGCCGGGGACTGGTGGAGGGCGAGCATGACGAGCAAGAACAGGCGTGACAGGGTACGCGACATAGGCTCTCTCTCGGTCAGGGACTCTGTCACTTCAGTGTAGGGAGAAAAAGTATGCAGTAGGGAGTCAGGTAGTCACAGAGTTTAAGACGAGTCTGGTGGCGGACACAGCAGAGGTGGAGTAAGGCTAGTGGAAGATGGAACACCAAGAACCTCGTTAAGTGTCGAGTCAGGTCGTGGCAGCGACGATTGCAGTTGAGGCAAGAAAAATGGTCGCCCCTGCGATGTACCTAAAGTATCAGAACCTCCAACTCCAGTACCTCCAACACGTCGAGCTCCATGTCCTCTAGCACCAGCAGCTCTAGTAACTCCACCACTAGCACCTCCAGCACCTCTAGCTCATGTACCTCCAGTGTCAGAATCCCAGCCACTAACCACTGTGATAAATGTGCTTGTTTGTATAGTGGGTGAGTGTGCCCATGACCCCCCAGTCCAGCGTGCGTGTAACCCTTCCCTAGGATCAATCGGGGATCACCAGTGGACCTCTGACACCCCCCCGCACTGGGATGTCCGAGGTGACATCCAGCACCAGCACTTCCAGCACCAGTGCTTCCAGCACTAGTACCTCCACCACCAGCACTTCCAGCACCAGTACCTCTAGCTTCAGTACCTCAAACACCAGCGCCTCCAACACCTCTAGCTCCAAGACCTCCAGCACCAGCGCCTCCAGTACCTCTAGCTCTAGTACCTCCAGCACCAGCACCTCCAACACCAGTGCCTCCATTACCTCCAGCTCCAGTACCTCCAGCACCAGCACCTCCTCCACCAGCGCCTCCAGTACCTCGAGCTCCAGTAGCTCCAGCTCTGCGACCAGAGCGGCCATGCCGAAGAACCCACTTGCAAAGCTGCTGCGGCGAGAGAGTCCCCTGCCGACAAGACAGCTGCTACTGTCACTCCCAGAACCAGCACCCCCAGAACCAAGACCCCCGGACTCAACACTTCTAGAGCCAGCACCTCCTGGTTCTAGGTAGCTTAAGCGTCAAAAGTGCGACTTGACCATCTCCAAGAGCGACTTGTGCCTAAAGATGTGCTCAGACACATAGCAGACGGTGACGTTGTCCTTCTCCTACCGATCTTTTGGTGAAACTTGAGGAGGGAAAGGCAGTGGACATTGGACAAGGACGTGGGAAACAACTCTGCTGATATTGTTAAAGATGCGAGTGCTGGCGACTCTGGTCTGGCGCTGGAGGAAAAGCATACGGTAATGCGTTGATGGATGCTACTACTGGTGAAGATGACTTCATTGATGATGATGAATCTGATGAAAAGCTGGATTTGGATTTGGCGAAAGAGGTTGCGTCCAACTGCGTTTCATTGTCACTCTGTTACCATACTTCCCTTTATTCTTGCTCAAGAGGTCATTATCAGAATGTTATATTGTCTAGTCTGCAGTGGGGTACTCAGTAGTGAGTACCACCCTGTTAGGGTTTCGTATTTGTATCCCCTCTACCTGCTAGTGCAACTCCCTCTTCTCCTGTTACCATTCTCGTTCGTACTTCTTGACATGCTATTAGAGCAGGTCGGCCCTCGCGGGTTTATCCTGTGGATGGGCCCACCCTATGCTTCCGCTGCTATTCTGCCTATCGCGCGCCCCGGGCGCGTGACGTTTTCTGCCCGCCGCGCATGTCAGAATATTATCTTATGTTCTCTAGCCTGCAGTGGGGTACTCTATAGCGAGTATAACCCCTTAGGGTTTCGTATATGTATCCCCTTGCTTGCTAGTGCAAAGCCCTCTTTTTGCCTAACTTCTTTCT